ACGGACAGGCCGGACACCGTCTAATTTGGCCAGACACGCAATCAAAAAGCGTGACTGTGTCCGGCTTTATCTGGACGCCTGGCAACGCTACACCAAGCCAGTGCCTACAGAAGTTCAGTACAATCACGGTAATTTTATCTATACCTACAGTATTCCAACTTCATACAAACGGACGAAGCGGGAGCTATGCCTACGCGCCTCGATCTCGGCATGCAGGTAGTCGTGACTGTGCCGCAGTGATGATTTTGTGGAATATATAAAAAAATGGAGGAAATATTCTGAACTTCATTTAAAACCAAACATATAAATTGTAAAGTAGCTGCAGGTATCTATAACCAAGTAAAATATATTCCTTTTCTCCACCTTGTCCATGTTTACCAAAACAATTTTTAAATAAGCTTTATATTAGAATGCGGATTTTTATAGTAAAAAATTTAATAATAAAGCATTTCGTACGTTTCAGTCGAGGTTCAAATATTTTTCGGTCCAAATTTACAAGACCGATTTGTTATTCAAACATAAACATGGTTTTTTAATTAAATCCACCAATCAAAAAACAGCACGAATTTTTATTGAACACTTCCTATTCAATTCACAAAATACCTATCATATTTGTTTATATAAAAAAAGTATATTTACAATCATAAAACTAAATGGAAACACAAAGTAGGCAAATGTAAAAATGCTGGAGGCAGGCCAGCCCTATCGTATTGTTACGAGCTTGAGGTTCGCGACAATAAAAATTGCCGATAAAATTACCTAAATTAACACTTTAATTTACTTTACACAAATTAAAACTTAAAACACTAATAATTAAACACACTAATTCACTTAATTCCGCTCCGAAGCTTCGCTTGTTTCGCCGAGTTCAACTCTACTACTATCGCATCTTGCAGCGCCTACTTATATAAATTAGCAAAATATCCAGAATGTTCAAGTAAACACGCGCAAGGTACCGAGAGTTCGAGTTTTAAACTTCAAGAAGTTTAGTTCTTCGGTTCGAGACTAGATGGCGCTAGTGCGCCGATTTGAGCGCGGCGTAACAGTATGTATACGTACCGCGCGGCTGTAGGCATTTATTTCAAAGATACGGCCGAGTTACAATACTGTATAGATAATATTACCGTGGTAATATTATCTATACAGTATTGTAACTCGGCCGTATCTCTCAAATAATTGCCTACTGACGCGTGGTACGTAAACATGCGATAGGGCTGCCTGCCTCCAGCATTTTTACATTTGCTTACTTCGTGTTTCCAGTTAGTTTTATGATTGTAAATATACTTTTTTATATAAACAAATATAAAAAAATGTAAATCTATAAAGGTTTCTATATTACATGATATGTTCAAAACTTGTTTATATATATATTGGTAAATGTACAAGCTGTAGATTCTGTTTCAATAAAAAAATAGGTACTTTGTGAATTGAATAGGAAGTGTTCAATAACAATGCGTGTCATTTTTTGATTGGTAGATTTAATTAAAAAACCTTATTTATGTTTGAATAACAAATCGGCGTTATAAATTTGCGACCAAAAAATATTTGCGCCTCGGCTGAGACTTACGAAATGCTTTACTATTAAATTTGTAAATATAAAAAATCCGCATTCTAATATAAAGCTTATTAAAAATTGTTTTGGGAAACATGGACAAGGTGGATAAAATGAATATCTTTTACTTGGTTATAGATACCTGCAGGTACTTTACAATTTATATGTTTGATTTTAAATGAAGTTCGAATTTATTATGTCTTTATTTTTATTCTATTATTTATTTCCTCCATTTTTTTTATATATTTCACAAAATCATCACTGCGGCACAGTCTCGACTGTCTGCATGCCCAGCGCATGTCGAGATCGAGGCGCGTAGGCATGGCTCTCGCTTCGTCTGTTTGTATGAAGTTAGAATACTGTATAGATAAAATTACCGTGACAATTCTGTTATAGATAAAATTACCGTAGTACAATGGTGATTCGCGCTTGACTAGTTTTTTGTAGCAGTAGAATTTATGCAGTGGCTTAGAATCGGTTTGCAAAATTTCTTATATAGGTATGTATATGTAGATACTTGCACAGACCTGCTACCAACATAATTACATACGTAAACGGCTGTCACATTACATACATACACGACGAAAACTATAAAACTCAAGCTTAGTACTAAACCAACAATGGGCAGATCCTTCCACTATAAGAGGAAATTTCCAGTAAAATCTGACCTCTCATTGTACGTAATGCATTTACAATTTGAGATCAGCTAATACTGGAGAAGGTAGTTTGGTAATTATGTAGCCACGTGTACTAGTAACATATCTGTTACATGTTTAGGTAGGTAGAAAATACTCACGTACTCACAATTTAGCTAAAGCTAAACTATCAAGGTACGTCAGTACTCAATAGGTCCATAATTTTTATGTACTTATGTAGTAGGTAGCACTATAGTATTTATTTTTTTTTAAAACGTTACCCCCACACTAGGATTTTCTCTTGTATCATTGAGGCAGTTTACAAATATAAATTGCACAAAGACAAACATCCAGATCCGGAACAATTATTTGTAGGTCATACAAATAATTGTTCCGTGCGGGATTCGAACCCACGGACTCCAGCGCAGCAACTCATTGCTAAGCCAGTGCACTACGGAGTACCGATAATGTAAGGACGGATAAGTATTTTAGTTTTATTTCGTTATAGTTAGATATTATAGGTAGGTATTTACCGAACACACTTATATTTTTTATTACTAAGTGCTTGGCTTCTGCACTACGGGTCGGGGGGTTCGATTCCCATACGGAACAAATATTTTATTGGCCTATAGATAGTTGTGAAAATTTGTGTTTGTAATCGCACCGTCTCCGATTCAGGAGAAATCCTGGAGTGGGGCAACGTTATAAAAAAAACAATTACTACTAATTTTGTTGAATATTGACAAAACAAAAACAAACCTATTTAGGTACCTAACTTTATCTTTTTTTTTTCATAAAGTTGCACCACACTCGATTTCTCATGAATCGTAGACGGTGCGTTACAAGCACAAATTTTCACATACAGAAACACCTGTGACTAGCAGCGCAACAACCAATCGCTTAGCCACTGCACCAAACCTGTGCTACATAATATTGTAATCACTAATACTGTAAGTAGATAGGTCGGTAGATACTTACTTCATTAAGTTTATCATACGCTTTTTATTTTTATTACGCTTATTTCCCATTGCGCCAACACTATAAACCTTAAGTGTCTATATTTTAATTTTACTTCGTCCTGTTGCGTAAAGTGTTCTGAGCACAAGCGACACAACTCTTCGCTTCAAAAATCGGAGCTAGAGTGAATGACGGTGTCGGGCAGTTTAAAACGACGATAGTTTAGGTAATTTATTTTTACGGTGAAATTAATGATAAATAAAAAAAAGTAAATACATAAGCCCTGTTTTATAGTTAGTTCAGTTAGTATCCAAAGTTTCATGATCTAATTTTAAGTATTTTTTGAATGCCAGCGGTTTATAATTCGGTTTGGAGGTAACTGGATTTTTTTTCTATCGAGAAAATTTTATGGAATCGTGTTTTCGTCTAACATAGTACTTAAAATTAATCCTCAACTTCACCATATATTTATTTCAAAAACAATGATGCAGTAGTTTCGGCATAAGAGAGGATCTTGCTAAGCCATTTGAGGTCATATAGACCCTTAAAACTAATATTGCACAAAAGTACTTATAAACTCTACTTCAAAACAAACAAATTAAATAAACAAAATGGCGGATTGTGTCAGCGCTACTGAAGTTAGCAAACGTGTCCTGGCCGAAAACTGTTTAGTTTCGCCATTTTGCTTACAAACGCTTGCTAGCGCTTTTTTCTGCCAAACGCACCCAATTATGTTGTTTTAAGCAAGAACTGAATTCGCCGGTGGTGACCCAAGGTGTTATTAAGATAAAACAGGAAAGGGGATTCACTGATTTGTTGATAGGGCTACTAATGTCTGAGAAAGTTGTAAGTACATCTGCTAATCATGAGATCCTGGGTTAGGCCAAAATCAGATATTGGGTTTTGCCGTTAAGAAATTTTCAGTAGCAGCCCGGAGCCAGGAAATTGGCAGTGTTTGAACCCCGTGCCTCCGAAAGCACGTAAAGCCATTGTGTCTATGCTTAATCTCTCCAGTCGTGTTGGATTACCCTCTCGGACGGATCGGACTTAAGGAGAGTGGGAATAGAGAGTCTGAAAACGATGACGGTGACAGGTAAAAGAACATCTTATCAAGTTTGCAAGCTTTTCTTTGGTTTAATGAGATATTATTTATTGACTACTATATTTTGCTCATCATTTGTACAGTTTTTCATTAAAAGAATAAACAATATGAAATTTAAATAAATGTTTATTAATTCTATATGTGAATACAAAAAATAAATAAACATAGCAAAGTGATTAAACTCAAACAGTAAAATATTAATGATTTATAACTATAATTTCTCTTAAAATTACAATACTTTTTTCCTTATCTAGCAAAATGCTAAATGTATAATGAAAAAATTTAATATCAGATTTGGAAATTTAGAAAACTAGTAAGGCATATCTGAATTTCATCCGAAATCGCAGCTTGGGGAGCTTCTTATCCCTCTGCTCATTTCAGAGGAAAGGAATTCATACCCACACTGATGTACCTAATGGTAAACAAACTACACTATTTAAAATAATGTTTGTCTGAAAATTAACATGTAGTCACATTCGAATCGAAAGCAACTTGCCCAATTCTCAGAACTAAACGGCACGTCTATAATGTTATATTGTAAATGCAGAGTTGGAAAATACATTCAGTCTGAAATATTGGAATACGAAGACAACAGTCAAAAGTTTAACAAATATTAAGCGAGTTGCAACTTCCGTCCTGCACAGTAATTTATAACTATGTACTAGGTGAGGCTTAAAAGAAAAAAGCGAGATGTTGCAAGCTTAATTTAATAAGATAAAGTTAGTACTGCGCGGGCGGACGTGCGCACATGTGATTAGTTCTGGAAGAGAGTGCGGGTGAAGTCGATGTAATCGAGACCATTAGGGATAGGTCGTTCTGTCTTCGGATCGACGTAAGGCTTCATGCGCGCGACGCAGTAATCTGCCATCTCCTTGGTGAGATTCTGTAAAATAAAAGTAAATATATATGTATACAGATTAAACAACGTTTTTATAACGTGAATTCTATGTTAAGGGGAAAACAGACCATGTTTACGATAAATGCAAACTTGTTTAATCAATTAATGATACAATAAAATTACAAGTGTTCGTACGATACTTACAGCATAGAGCTCTTCTTTGGTGACGTATGAGCGATCCTGGTGCGCTGTGATGGCACGGAACGCGTTCTCGATCTCCTCGGACGAGTGCACGTTCTCAGTTTCCTTGCTGATCATAAACGCCATGTACTCCTGCAGTGACACCTGCCCGTCTCGATTCGGATCAACCACATCTAAACAAAACATATTAATCACTTAACTCTTTTTGATGGATTTAAGCAAAACAATTCTACAGTAATACAGACGATACAATAATGATACTGCTATTTAGTTTTTTAGTGTCGTAATTTTACAAATTTGCATGTGTTTATTAAATTGATGCGTTATCATGTATTATTTAAATAAAATTGAAGTTATTATAAAATTGTATTTTTAATTTGTTTGTCTGTCCGGGCTAATCTACGAAACGGCTGTACCGACGGAGAGCAAGGCCATGAGTGATAGATTACTCATGGCCTTGCTCTCCGTCTTATATAATAATTCTTAGATAATAAAATAAAATATAATCTAGAGATTATATTTTATTTTATTATCTAAGAAAGCGACATTTTTTGTGATATCGAAAAATTCAATAAATGGTCCGTAATTATCACATTAAACCTAAATAACGCTACATAATAGATCCAATCCTGAGCAGGTCGCTAGTGTATAATAGGAATAATGTAAGGTGTTACGTACGGAATATCTACGAGATGGATTTTACCATCTTTTTAATAAAAAAATATATGAGAAATATTTTCTTGGAAAACTAACATAAAATAAAACAGTTACTTCTAACGATATTTGAAAACTATATAGATTTCAATTAAACGATTTTTAGATTTTTAGCCGATCTCCGGTATTCATAACAATAAATAAAAGTATAATCAGCAAGTTGTTCTAATTCAGATGTAAATATATATTTTTTATTTTCGATCTTAAAACGATATTTGACGCCTTTTATTAGATATATTTTAAAGTTATTATACAATAAAATTTATACTGTATATAAATAATACTGACTGAGTATAGCCTCGAATTCTGGGTCTGGCTGTCCCTCCTCGACCATGGGCAGGTCGTAGCCGAGCGCACGCAGGCACGACTTGAACTCGTGGTGGTTGAGCCGCCCGGACCGGTCCTTGTCAAAATGCTTGAACATCATTGAGAACTCCTTCAGCGCGTCCTCGCTCACGCCTGCAAACAGTCAACAGTGACATCACAGGAAATAGATATAAAGGAGAGGGGGGGGGGTTCATTTGTGTAAGGAAGCCAAAATTAAAAGATTATTAAATAATATGTGAATGAACTGACCAGAGTGATTTCTGGCCTGTATCTGCTGCTCAAGGTTGTGCTGCATGCGCATGGACAGCTGGTCAAGTTGGTCCCACTGTTGGGCGAGCCCCACGGTGCTGTGTTCTGTGTAACGGTTATCCAAGATGAGGTGCTCTTCCAAAGTAGCGCCTGAAATTGGAGATTTATAAAAATTAGCAACTAACAAAAGAAAGTATTATATTACACGCATTAGCCATCTATTATAAATACATTGTTGAATATAGACATTTCCAAAAAATTGTCATATGCATTTCTACTTACTCATACTTAATATGTTGGTTCGTTTTCTTCCTTAATCTTTACTAGTTACTGAAATTTTACTTTTTGGATGGATATCCACATCAGCTGTGTGTAGTAGCTAAGATGGCATTGGAGAAATATTTCTCATTTATCTCAAGTACTCAAAGATGGTATTGGTTAACCACCAAATGGAAAATAAATTGAATCGCTTCACATAGTCATATAGTTTTCATATCATTTGTTCAACACTGGACTGTGTAGACTGCAGTGTTTAGTGTGGAGTGTGTAGTCTAGAGTGTGGAGTGTGTGTATTATGGAGAATGGAGTGTGTGTAGTCTGGAGTGTGAAGTGTGCGTAGTATGGAGATTGGAGTGTGTGTAGTTTGTGTAGTCTAGAGAGTAAAGTGTGTGTTGGCTGGAGTGTGTAGTGTGAAGTGCATGTAGTATGTAGTGTAGTTTTTATAGTCCGCAGTGTGAAGTGTGTGTAGTCTGGAGTGTGAAGTGTGCGTAGTATGGAGATTGGAGTGTGTGTAGTTTGTGTAGTCTAGAGAGTAAAGTGTGTGTTGGCTGGAGTGTGCAGTGTGTGAAGTGCATGTAGTATGTAGTGTAGTGTTTATAGTCCGCAGTGTGAAGTGTGTGTAGTCTGGTGGAGTGTGAAGTGTGTGTAGGCTGGAATGTGTAGTCTGGAGTGTGTACGCACCGATCTCCTCGAGGCGGCGCAGATCGGAGCGCCGCGCGCGCACCTCGCCGGCGCGCTGCCGCAGTGTGGCCAGCTGCTGCTCCAGCGAGCCCGTGCCCTCCATCATGGACGTGCTGCACATACACATACAATATTTATGGTCGTTTCTTATCTACGCATATAAATTAAATTGAAATGACATGAGTAACCATTTTTAAAACTGTTTTCTGTCTCTTCGAGATAATCTTCAGGATGACAGAACAGATTATAATAAGACATTACGACCAGATAGAGCGCAATGCCAGGGGAGTAATGTAGGTTTATTTTGTCCAAAACACACGCAACAAACGTTGTTTTATAAAAAAAAATAGATAAATTAAAGTCTTTGAGGACTATAATTTTCATTGATTTAAATTGAACGCGCTAAAATCAATAAAATGTGCTGCTATTGATACCAGCAGCCAACTTTAAACAAATAATTCTACAGATGCGTTTTCACCTTTGAGGACTAAGATGTAATTCCTCACAACCTGTAATTATATTGCTTCTCAATGCCTTTCAGATCGAAACACAACAGTGCAAGCACCGCTACTTGGCGACAGGCCGACTCCTACACAGAAAAGGAAGAGTCTTTATAGCCTAATAAAATATATTATAAGGAAGACAATATTAAATGGATGAAATATCTTTGAATAAAATTTTCTTTGAATTGATTTGAGATATATTAATAAAAACAATATGAATCATTGCTTGGGGGAGGCCCCTCATTAGTAATGGCCTTGTAAAGGGCTATAATGATGATGATGATGAATGATACGAGGGTGGATTGAAAAGTACTCGGCCTAACCAAGAAAATAAACACATACTAAATCAGTTATATTTTTATTTTTCTACATAATCACCATCAAGTTCAATACACTTTTGCCACCTCCCCTTCCAAGCATTTAGACCGTTGAAAAAAAATGATTCTTCCTTAGAGTCAAAATATGCGTTTACAGCTGCTTTGACCTCGTCGTTTGTCGAAAATATTTGACCTCCCAAGTGCTTTTTTAGGTTAGGGAACAGAAAGAAATCTGATGGTGCCAGATCAGGTGAATACGGCGGATGCGGTAATAGTTCAAAGCCACAGTTGTGAATTTCAGCCTTTGACTGTACTGACGTGTGAACACGGGCGTTATCTTGATGAAACAGGACTTTTCTTCTGAGCATTCCTCGACGATTTTCTTTTATATCCTCTCGTAAATGACGTAGTAAGTTTTTAGTGTTAGTAAGTTTATATTCTGACCCCTTTCAAGATAATCAATCATAATCACACCTTTCGAGTCCCAGAATACTGAAGCCATCACCTTATTTGCCGACAAAATCGACTTAGCCTTTTTTAGGGGTGGTGAACCAGGTCTTCTCCACTGTTTTGATTGTTGTTTTGTTTCCGGTGTACAGTAATGAACCCATGTTTCGTCCATAGTAACAAAACGATTCAAAAAATCATCTGCATCGGCTTCAAATAACTCCAAACAGTCGCGTGAAATAGTCAATCGCGTCCTTTTTTGTTCAACTGAAAGCAGTCGCGGAACCCACCTCGCAGACACCTTGTGGAAACCCAACTCGTTGAAAATGATGTTTTGAGTTCGTTCATAAGAGATACCTATAATCTAGGCTATCTCTCTAATTTTTAATCTGCGGTCTCCCATTATTAAATCAAGTACTTTTTTAATATTTTCGTCAGTAGTTGACGTCGAAGGCCTTCCAGAGCGGGGTTCATCTTTCACACTCTCTCTACCACGCTTAAATTCTGCTATCCATTTTTTGACGGATGAATATGACAGAGCACAATCGCCTAATGTACTGACCATGACATCATGGATGGCTTTTGATGATAGCCCCTTCTTATGGAGGTACTTAATGACGGCACGCTGCTCGATTTGCTCCATTCGCGGAAATTATGTCCGATTACTTTGTTAATAAATTTATAAAATCACAACTAATTATCGCACACGTTTCGAACTTCACACAATGAACTAGTCTGAACTGAACTAAATAATGTGGGTAGATTTGATTTTTAGAATTGAATGGATCTGTGTTAGGCCGAGTACTTTTCAATCCACCCTCGTAAAATGATTAAATCGGTTATTTACGAAATTAGTAGCATTAAAAAAATTAAAAACAACACACCCATTTAAATAAATGTTAGATATTTTTAATCCCAAACTTTGTCGCGTTTTTGAAAATATATGTAGCTTATTGAGTATTAAGCTGCAGAAACATCAAAAAGTGCTCACAAATAAATAGCTTGGCAGAAAAATTTGCTATATTATAATTTTATGTTGAATATAATTTATATTAATATTGTTATTGTAGGCTTTTTGTTATTTTATCTTTAACATTTCAGATAATTTAGAACCAAGACACAGCAGTATATTGCGTGTTTCTATGATTTTTTTGGTATAATGACCGAAGTATTCACGTTTCTAAACATATAAAAATATAATTATGCTAGTTATCTAGTTGGGCTAGGGTGTTTCATAATTGTAACTAAAACATCATTATTATTTCATTTTATTTAAGTCAAATATACGGAAATGTATTAACCAGATTATTTTGTATTTTTTCGTTAAATAATAATCTGCGCATAAATATTCAAAAACGAATTATCCATTATTTTAATTAAACACACACACACATTTTATGACAATATACAAAACATAAATTGTAATGAAATATATACAAGATATTTTTTTATTTATCTTTTCTGCCAAGCTAACAAAGCGACTTGAACATTGTTTAGCACAAATGTACACTCATATGCAGTTACTTTACCCATCCCAGCCTAGCAGCCGGTACCTGCGCATCAATTGTTATATGTTGTATATTGTTGAATATTTAGATAACTATACCGATCACACAAAAAATAGTTTGTAATACCAGATCTTACATTAAATATAAAAACTACATACATAAGGTGGAAAGAGCTCGATTTTATCATAGATAGTTTAGTTATTTACATAAGAAAAATATGTTCACCTAATTGTGATACTTCTTGTAGTGTAAAAAATATGTTCACCTAATTGTGATACTTCTTGTAGTGTAAAAAATACGTTCACCTAATTGTGATACTTCTTGTAGTGTAAAAAATATGATCACCTAATTCTGATACTTCTTGTAGTGTAAAAAATATGTTCACCTAATTGTGATACTTCTTGTAGTGTAAAAAATACGTTCACCTAATTGTGATACTTCTTGTAGTGTAAAAAATATGTTCACCTAATTGTGATACTTCTTGTAGTGTAAAAAATATATTCACCTAATTCTGATACTTCGTGTAGTGTAAAAAATATGTTCACCTAATTGTGATACTTCTTGTAGTGTAAAAAATATGTTCACCTAATTGTGATACTTCTTTTAGTGTAAAAAATCAAGTCAATATCTCAAAAAGTGACTTGTCACAACATGAAATGCTGCATAAAAGTAAAAACGAAACCGAAAACTTATGGCATTAACTATTATTTACCAATAATTTAGTGAATTCATTATAATATCAGTCTCACCGAGTCTCTGTGAGCCACTGGTGGAAAGCATTGGCGTGTTTGGCGAAGTCCTTACGCAGTTTGTCGTTCTCTTCCTGGCGCTGAGCCTCCTTGGTCAGTTCGATATCACGTTCCGCTGCATGAAAAAAATGTATTAAGAATACATATATAATATCACAAAACATAATTTTTTTATAGATTTGGCAGATTTACTGACTAATACAAACAAACCAATGTTTTAAAACTTACCCCTATGAGGCAATTCCATAGGGAGTAAATTACATATATATTTTCTCAATTTAAATTTGTATAATTGCAAAAGGTAAATATTAAATATTCATCATCATCATCAGACTTACACAAATCCACTGCTGAATATTGGCATCCCTTAAAAATGTCCCTAAGCACAGTCGTAAGCGACCTGCATGCATCGAATCCCTGCATCTCTCACCAGGCAAATATTACATCATCATCATCATTTCAGCCTTTCACAAGTCCACTGCTGAACATAGGCCTCCTCAAAGTAATGCCATAGAGCACAGCCCTGAGCCATCTGCATTAATCGACTTACTGTATCTCTAACCAGGTAAATATTAAATACTAATTAAGAGTTTTTAACATAGTAATGATTTTAGTAATAATTGTTGTTTTATCAGATGTTTTTAAACAACCTGTGACATATAATAAAATCAATTGTAATCTACACACACATTTTTTAGCCGTGGTCTCCGTGAATACATGATAGCAATACACGAACCGATTATTTTGCGCAGATTGCGCCAGGTCTCCTCGAGCGCCTCCATGGTGAACCACGTGTACGGGTTGGCGCCCACGTTGAACGACTTGATCTGCTCGTCAAGCGCCGCCAACGCTGCGAAGTCGCTTTGTGCTGACGAAAGTGAGGCCTGACAAACATTTAAAAGTATAATTGGAATATATATATATATATTTGACAAAATCGTAAATCGATTTTAATTATCAGTTTTTTGTCAGTATTGTTTAACATGTAATTGAAGCAACTTTCAACAGCAATAACTTTTATTATCGAATCCATTAGGGCAATAAACATATTTCTGAAATGATCATTCATGAGTTCAGGACACAATAAAAATAATCTATATCTATATGCTATAATAACACTAACTCGTCTGTCTAAACACGTATCACACAAAAACCTGTGCACCTGTGTGTATAGATGTTATAAGGTACTCCTTATAACATCAGCTATCCGACAGTGAAAGTCCCATCGAAATTGGTACACAGGTTTTTTTACTTAGGCTACTTTTATTTTAGGGTTCTGCGCAAAAATTTCACGCGGGCAAAGTCGCGGTGAATATTGAAATAATACTAGTTTTTACGGAATGTATCGCGTATATTTAACTTTTTAAATACCCAACGTTTCGAACGCTTTACAGCACTCATGGTCACGGGCGGGACTGAGATGTTCAACGTCCAGATGTCATAGTTAACCGCGGTTACCATAGATTAAAATTTAACTTTTGTTCCGATCTACACAGTATGAACTTATGGTATCTTGAAGTCTTGCAGTTGTATGCTTGGGTTGGGATTTAATTTTATTTATTATAGGATCCCAAGCAGATGGTAGTACCCAGCCATCTTCTCTATTGAAATTAGGATGTTTTTTGATTTCAATAGCCTCGCTAATCATTCTTGGAAGGAATCGGTGTTCTTTAGCGAGGATTTGCGGTCTACCAAATCTGATGTAGTGACGGGGGCGATCCTGTACGTGTTCACAGACTGCAGACTTCCCGGAGCGTCGATTCTTCACATCAGCTATATGTTCTTTAACGCGGGTTTTTATTGATCTTTTAGTTTGTCCTATGTAGGAGAGACCACATTCACAATCAAGCTTGTACACTCCTGCATCTTGCAGAGGGACATTATACTTGACTGATGGTAAAAACTGACCAATCTTCTTCAGCGTCTTTCTATTCTTTTATTCTTTAATAAAATATTTACATGAATATTGACACATTGATACTTGTTGCATTATTTTACATGAACAGTAAGATTTTTTTTTGTTGTACTAAATGTAAATACTACAAATTACAGGAAGGTTTATCTAAGTGTCGTCTTATTTAAAGGTTGCCACGGCATGCAATGTGGACAACGAATATGTTTCTTAAAACTTACAACTACAAACTTAAAACTAGGTATAAATATTAGTTAACAGTAAAGTACTGTATAATCTTTCGCTTGAATTTTTGAGGTTTATCAGCAAAAATATGAACGTCACATGTCTTGCAGAGCTGGTGGCGTGGTGATTTAATCGTGCAGTGGCGGTGCAGGAATATCTACTGCACCGTATCGTCCCGCGGCTGTCTAAAGAGGCGACAGCAGCATCATCTTCCTAATAACAACTAAAAAAGTGCGCTCGTCAACCCGCCTGCTGTGCGTGGCAACTATGGAAAGTTTCCCTCTTAAGAGACAATTTACGAGGAGGCTCACATTCTGCAGTGGACTTCTTATATGCTGTAGTGGTAACAGTAAAGTAAGATTACACCTCACATACTGTGTGACTTTAAATACCTTTTTTTATAGAATAAAGGTGACAAACAAGCACCCTAATTCTATAAAAAAAAGAAACACACTCCACCTGATGGTAAGTGGACTTTAGCCTCGATGAAGAATCAAAATGCAGATTCGTTGCCCTGAGGGCTTAGATGGAATGCCTCAATTCCAGTAAAACGGCTCTCCGGTTTCCTACACTCACCATACGAAACATAGCAGCATTAAACTGCTGTTTGCATACTGGTTATGCTGGTATTATGGGAGACCTTGTTTACTTTTCTAAAACGAAATGTAAGCAAGTGTGACCCCTCAATTTCATAACACACAAGTTTTCAATTTCAATTAATTATAAATATTCAATTAATTTGATTACGATATGAAATAGCTGTTTAGTTAAATAAAATTTGAACTTTACCTGGAATTGGGCATGAGCGTCACGCAAAGCTCGGATTTCTTCAATGGAGTTGCAGCGAACAGGGTCTGTAAGATCCTCCTCGGCATTCTCAAACCATGAGTTGAACGCTGATGCCTGATAAAATAAAAAAAGGAATAAGATGCTGTCTTCAGAGTATTATTATACTTTTTAATATGACCGATTCTCATTTTGCAGGCAAGCAAGCAAATAGACAATTTTTTTAAAATGTTGTTACAGAAATTACTTTTGCCTTATTTCTATATTCAATCAATGTTTCGTTTTTCTTTACGAAGTGTCCCACAGTGGCAACAAAGTCTATAACAAACTTTTTAGAAAATAACAGTGGTTGAATGGCTTAAAGTTGAAATTTTAAATGTCCAGAGTATTAAACAAAAAATGTTATGATAAGAGCTTCGTTTATAAAACCGTATTGTAACAATTTTTTTTATTACGAGGATATAATATTGCATATTATCAGTTATTATTGGAAAATTATAAGTGATGATATATGCAATATCTGATATCTTTACATCATTATGTAAAAATCAGAATAATCGCTACAATTATAAAATACTTCTTTTTAATTACCCATCTGGAAGTTGTAGTACATATCTATTGTATAATAAAATTTAATTTCTTACTAGGTGTACTTATATCAAAATCAGGCAACTAAAGTATATTTACAAAATAAATAAATTTTATTGTAATAAGGATGTACTTATCATCTCTTCTACATCATTCAACATATCCGTTTATTGAGAGGGCTAGTATTCGATGTAGGCATATTTTTTGTACAAGCTAATTCTGTGTTGTGAGAGCCTGTGTGGTGTGTATATCTGCATGTTCGCGTGTATGCGTGGCGGGGCGTGGGGCGCACCTTCTTGGCGAAGGTGAGGTAGAGCTCCTCGATCTGGCGGAACTGGTCCTGCAGCTGCAGCAGGCGCTGGCGGCGCGCGGTGCTGGCGTCGCGCAACCGTTGCCAGCGCGCCAGCACGTCGCCGTGCCGCGCGCTGATGGCGCTCGCCTGCTCGTGCCCCGCCGCCACCAGCTGCTCTTTCAGTACAGTAATGTTTTGGATGCCCTCCTGCTCGAACGCCGCCAGCCCTGCACACAAACGTCGCACTTCACCCAACTGCTCAACCTTTTCACGAGTACTCCTTACAAGCGGGTACACAGTCAACCTGATACTAAGTGGATCCAGGGCCCAACAGCTACTTAATCTTTTTTACATTTAAATATATCCCCCCCTCTCCAATACCACACACACACACACACTAAGATTTTATCTTGTATCATGGAGGAGGATATATATATATATTGTCCATATTATTTCCCATAGAAAACATCCTTGACTCGTCAAACAACTATTTGTAGACCATACATACACTAATTCGAACTCGCAGCAACGGAGTCAAATGCTTAGATACCATATTACCAAAATTCCTTTCTATCTTTAATAATAAGCCAGTGTAGAGCCACGCTGAAGCAGTTTAGTCATGATTGTAGCTTGGATGGGTAAAACTCAATCGGGAAGTCCTACTACACTCTCTTACAGAATACCAGCTTAAAATAGCGGCTTAATGCTGCTGTGTTTCCTATTGTAAGTGTAAAGAACTGGAAACCCTTATTATTGGAAACGCTGCATATCCTTTTAAATCATTCAGAGACCCATTTAAACACACAATTTTTTCATGAAAATCGATCCAACCGTTTAAGAGTTGTGACAAACATGTACAAAAGTATATATAAAGATTTCCTTTTTGATATATTCTTAAATTGAAATGAGACGATAAGATTTTTTGTCGCCTCGTTACGTAGCAATAATAGTGTATTAATAAACTGACCCGCGTCGAAGGTGTCCTGCTTGGTGAGCAGCGTCTGCACGGTGGAGAGGTCGCGGCCGAACTCGTCAGAGCGAACGTGCGTCTCCTTGTCCGCGATCCACGACTCCACCACGTCCGCCTTCCACAGCAGCTGCAGGTACGCCGAGTTGTCCACCAGCGCCGCCTTGCGCCGCGCCGCCAGCGCCGTCAGCTTCTCTAGCTTCGCCTACACGTATCATGTGTTCAAACATTACCACATCGTTATTGCTCATTGAAATGGGGAGGTAGGGAGGGTACGCTTTCGGGGTTTTTGTTCTTCTTATATTTCGTAGAATAAATATTTATATTCTAATTTAATTATAATATATTAATAATTAATAATTTAAAATTTTTATAAAAATTTTATAAAAAAATTAATAATTTAAGCATTTACACATTTTCATTAGCAAACTCTGAGGTTGTAGGTTGGCCTTATATTGCATAGAACACAAGCTATTCGGGTTGAGTTCGTACTCGGCCAGCACCATTACAATTTTTGTAAAAATAAATTATTATTTGTGAGATATTTTTAGACTAATCTAAACAAAAGTTTTTATCAGAATTATATTGATGATATTATAATGTAATTACATCATGGTTATTTGACTGTAAAAACGATTTTATTTATTTATTAATAAACATTGAATATACTATTTAACATAAAAAAGTTGAGCAAGTATCAAAACATTTATTAACGTCATTGTCAACTATCCAATTTAAAACCTGTCTTCTATCTAAAGGAAAGGGTGGTGTTTTTTTTTTTGTTTTATAGAAATAACAAACGAGCACACAGACTATCTGATAGTAAATAGATGCTGTGGCTCTTCTAGGAAGAACCATAATCCAGACACGATGTCATCACCGAGGACTAAGATTACCAGTAAAAAGCGTTCCCACTAGTCGCCAGTGATTCTGTGCGAGCGTGGTCGCTACTCGCAATGCTGCAGCAGTACACACCTGCAGTGCATCGAGGCGGTGCGCCAATGCATCTGCGTGCAGGTTGCCGGCGGCCAGCAGGCGCTCCCCGGCGGCCGCCAGCTCGCGCACGCGCTCGCCGCGCGCCGCCAGCTCGGCCTCCAGCGCCTCGTGCTTCTTCAGCAGCCCCTGCACCGCCGCCATGCTATCCCCGCACTCGCTCACCACCACCAGCTGCTGCTTCTCACTGCCACACACCGAATGCAAAAATTGTTATAAAAGGCCTTGTTAAGTCTCGTGATGTCACAGTCACTTTGACTTAAAATGATAGAGACGGTACTAAACTTAACAGCATCTTAAAATTGAGCAACGTTTGAGTATTTGGACAATAGAGCTTAATTCTGTATGCTCTTATTATGTATCAATTTTCCACCCATTTAAGAAATTGTATTATTTATTGTTCCAACAAAGTTCAGAAATGATTTAAGTGACAACTAAATCAGATACTTATTGTGCAATTCCTTGAATGAAATTCAATTGAATCAATATTATTATTTGTTCTCAAGATATGGGAAATTAAAAAATGTATGAACATAAAACACAAAGAAATTCTTTATCGTCTCTTGGAGCCTCAAAATGTGAAGATATGTCGAAATTTGGACCTTCAAATATTAGAATCCTTCCGAAAGCGAGTTTAATATTGAAATATTAGCAATTGAACACTTATTTATCCTCTTTTCCTATCTATGGAATCAAGCATAAAAAATATGGTATGATAGCAGAAACAGAACGCAGATTTGGAAGTGGTAATTAAAAAGTACTTGGGTGGAAATGATAGTTTACATAACATTTGTACAAAACTTTCTAAAACATTTACCAAAGAAATATTAGACATTAAATATACTTCACATTTAAAAAATTTTAGACAGAACATTATGTTACACAGAGTGGGGTGTCTTTTAGATAAAAGAGAGTGACATCATGTGACTTAGAAAAAGTAATTTATAAATTGCACCATAAAAAATTTAAACGAAAACAGTGTGAAAGAAATGAAGCTAGTAAAAAAAAATATAAATCCAATACTGTTCCATTTTGTTATTTTGTTTGTCAAAGGGTGTTCCTCCCGATCCCGATTTATTTAAATCAATCATTCGTCACATATTTAAACAAGGAAGTCATTTAGATTTCAGTAATAACTGGCCCATTCCCATTTTATCATCTGTCAATAAGATTGTTGAAGAGGTAGTTGTAGGCCAAATAACCGACTTTTTGGAATAGCTCAGCATATTAATGATTATTTAAATGATAGAAAACAGGTTATGGTGTTTTTATTACTTATAAAAAGCCTTTATTTTGCATCATAACATGTTATTGCAAAAGATGGCGGAGTGTGGAATCAGGGGCCCTACAAATAACTTTTTTCGTAGCTATTTATCTAATAGGATCCTTCGTACTGTAGTGGACGACGTTGTGAGAGAAGTGGCAAGTATTAGCTTGGGCATACCGTCTAGTTGTTTACGGTCCCGTGGGTTATATATTATTATGCACGTAACAAGTTTATCTAATGTAATAAAAATCAATGCATCAGCATGTTGAGCATATTAAGCATGTCGTATTTCACGTTCTATTGCACATTATAAGATTATAACACAGATATCTCGTAAACAAAAATTTGAAACAAACGATTTTTTACCCTGACATGCACTCCAGATTATTGAAAAAGACACATTAGAATTCAGGTTAAATTAAGAAGTAATTATTAGTCCGCAACATTTTAAAATTCTTTGTCGATAATCTTTACTCTTTACGACTGTTTGATCACAGAATATTATGTATTTGACATTGGCAGTATGGACGTGTTTGTAATACAATGTTTTATTTTATTGTATTTTAAGCATTTGTAACACATATTATAAATTTGAGCTTCCTGCATTCCTTTTCCATATAAATTTTTACTATGCCAAACTCACACTGCCATGCGCACGATATGCTTGAAAAGGAGTACAAAAGTTTTCCCTTCACATACTACAGATATGTGGCTTAGACATGACATCTGCATCATAAACAAATACTCAATAGAAACTTACTAATTTCATTGAACTGATAACTGGTAAGACACCAACCAATCTAAACAATTTAAACAGTACATAATCACAATACAATACCTGATCCAAGCCTCTTCCTCGTCTACTTTGGCCAGGAACTGCTGATAGGCCAATGATTGCTGCAGCTTGGCACCACGTTCTTCTGCCAATGCTTGTAATTCGGACCAGGCGAGAGCTAACGCCTTCAGTCTTTGTTCGATTTCTGGCACACCCAAGTTGGACACATCCATGAGTTTTTCTCCAGCTTCCTGCACTGCTTGAATTGCAGGTTCGTGGCTGGCCAGCTCCGCTTCAAGCCGCTTGTGTTTCTTAAGTAGGTTCTGCACCCCAGTTAAGTCGCGTCCATAATCATCAGATGCCACGAGAAGCTTCTTTTCTCTGTACAAAATGCGAAATATTTAAAAATTATCTATGAGATGAAAATTAATTTAATGTTGTCATAAATAAAACAAAGAAGATGTGGTCTTCAAGCTCTATACTAATTACAGAAATGAGAGGCATATACACAGTGATGTATTATTTATTTACGTTTAACTGCAGTTGCTCAGTTAATATAGAAGATGTGCCGTACCCGTGCGGGTAAAGAATGGGATTGAAAATGGCGTCGCCTCTATTCACCTATCGCTGTCTGTGGCTGCCGCTATCTTATATTCACACCCACTGGTAAATAATGCAAAAAAATATGTAGCGATACAGGTTTTTCGTACGTTCTGTAACTGCAGTCCAACTTGTCATTGGTATCAATGATAGCAAAATGCCATAAAGCATTTGAAAAAATCGGTTTGGTTTCGATAATTTCTGATTCTGAGCTACAACTCTATTTGTTTTCTCCCAACACCTAACCCTACAGTAGGAGCGGCCATAACAAAGGTGCGTAACGGGCTAAGTGATACAGACACTTGTACGCAGACGTAAGATGCATTTTGATTTAATACGATACATTTTTTTTTCGATGATTTAATCGGTAGGCTAATATCATGGAAGTCGCTTCCGAGGCGTGCAAAGTATTGTCAACATTAGCGACGTTGTAACTAGGTTTAAACTCGCAAGTTTGCTATCAGAGAGTGATCCTTCTGTTCTTGATTATTACTTATTCTGTGGTAATACCTGGAGTGATCTAGAATAAATTTTATTCAAAAAATTTAGAGACTTTATTAAAATAGAAATATTGATAGGATAAATTAAATGGTCTTTAATGACAATCTTAAGTCAAAATAACACCATATTAATAGATACAACCCAGACGAAGCCAAAGCGGATCGTCAGTTTTCAACATTTATTTATTTTAAAATTAATGTATACAATTCTTCCAACAGTGGCGAAGCTTCCATTAAAGCCGAAAACCCGGGCTTGCCTTATTAAACCTGAATCAATGAATAATATCAATCAATAATATCAACTAATAAAATAACTCGTAAAATGTTTCAATCTATTTCAAATTTCCCGCGCACTCTACTGTTCGACACATATCGACCGATGACCTCGTATAGCCTTAGCGATACTGCTGCTGTCATAAAAAATGAGTTTTAATAGAGCTAATAGTTTTCTCCCTCGTTCGCGTGGGCTTTTTATGGGGCTTTCGAGAAGACGATCGCTCTCTTTCTAACCTATGGCAAAATATTCTATAATGAAATATAACTACGATTGCATATATAGCAATTAGTATAGAGATTTAAAGCCAGGCTTTTGGGAATAAATTTGTTAAAAGCGGAGGCGCGCGGGCAATACGTTTGCAAGTTCATTTCACGTTTCAATGTTTATTTACTCTGTAGGTTACTATTACGAGTTCAACATTTATGCTTTTTTAAAGATTTTTAATAAAAATGGAGGATAATAGTGTTCCTTGCGATGAACTGAAGTTTGTTAAAGTGATAATCGGAGAGGAAATCTTTAAACTTTCTTGAGATAATACACAAGGTTAAGAGTGTACTTCAGACTTATCAATTATCGCAATTAAAAACAGTTATTGCTACAATTAAAACGTTCACCAACATTTTACGTGGACGTAATTAAATCTTTCCATAAGAAAGCGAGACGATTCCACTTATCTTATCTTATCTCTTATCCAATAGAATGTAAATAATTTTTTTTTTTTTTTAATTTTTTACATAGTTTGTTTGTACTTTGTTCGTGTTTTACTTTTGTTCATGCATTGTATTGGATGTAAATATTTTTTTTCTTTCGCTTAAACAAACCCAAACGGCTTTCTTCAAAGCCACCGAAGCTATGCAATTGCTGATATGTAATACAATCTATCTAGCAGTGGTATGACTTCTGTGTGCTTTGTTAAACACGTCCTTGACAGCACTGAATATGAAACTGAAGCGTGGAGACAGATCAAGATTGGTGTATTTTTATAAAACTGCTAAAACAACAATCTATATTTTTATCAATTTATATCTTGGGCTTGCCCTAGCTTGGAGCTCTAGCTTCGCCACTGGCTTCCAACTTTCGTATACAATTCTTCTCAAATATTTTCCCATTAAGGCCGAATACGACGCGAATGACCTTGCTAGTTTCGCAGCAAACCACGCGCCGCCAGTACCTTAGCTTTGTTTATATAGACATGTATAATACCTATAATCAAAGCCGTACGGGCTTTGATTATATTTGACTGAACTAGCTCAGAGTCAGAGTAATGAACAACACAGAGAGCATTGCTTACTTCTTAAATAAATTTTTCTTATTTATAATATTAGTTCCTATAGATTATAAATTCTGTACTTTATTCGTTATAAAATATTGTTGATATGATACGCTGAATGTATGTGGAGGAATGAATGATAAGATGGATGAAGTATGCGAAATGATGAATGACAGAGGAATAGATGTGTTATGTGTGAATGAGACGAAACGAAAGGGAAAGGATGCCACTGCACATGGCACGTATACCGCGTATTGGTCTGGTGTAGGCGAGACCGAACGGGCGTGCCAGGGAGTCGGTTTCATCCTTTCAGAAAGAATGGGTCAATGTGTGAAAGAGTATGAATGTGTAAGCCCGAGACTGCTATGGATACGAATGAAAGTGGGCTTAAAGAAGCTGTTCCTGCTAGGGGTGTACGCCCCAGACATGTTTAAGCCCGCTTACATTCGAGAGCAGTTTTGGGACATGGTAAGGATGGTGTTGACAAAATGTAAGGAAAATGAAAATATTATTATGTTAGGAGACTTTAATGGAAGGGTTGGGGTGAAGAGGTCTGGTTATGAAAGGATATTGGGAACGTTTGGTGATGAAAGTATAAATGAGAATGGTGAAGACCTCCTCACCGTATGTGCGGAAAAGAATCTTTTTGTGACGAATACTTTTTTCGTCATAAGAAGATTCACATGTATACATGGGAAAGAGGTGATGATAGAAGCATGATAGATTTCGTAATTGTGGATGAAAGAATGAGGAGCGCAGTCGTAGATACAAGGGTTTACCGGGGGTCCAACGTAGGGACGGATCATTACTTGGTCTTATGTCGAATTAATGGTCTTTTCAAGCGTTGGCGGCATCGGACATCTGTGTCTACCACTGCGTTACAGCGTATAAGAATAGAGAAGTTACAAGATGAAGATGTGAAAGAGAAGTATAAATGTAGACTGAGAGAAAGTATTAGATGTTTGAATGAGTTGTGTATGAATGATTTAGACTTGAAGACTGTGTGGGATAATATTAAGAAAGGTTTGGTGGATACCGCCACCGAAGTATGTGGTGTAAGTAAAAGAACAAATGAAAGGAAAAGTAATACGTTGTGGTGGGATGATGAGGTACGGGTGGAAGTTGAATCAAAGAAGAAAGCATGGTTAGATTTACTAGCAACCAAAGCTGGTAATTCTTCTGGTATGAATGATGAGATTGAAAGAAAAAAGGCAGAATTTAGACGTCTAAATAAGAGAGTAAAAGAAGTTGTTGAAAGGAAAAAGAAAGAAAGAATGGATAAGAATGATAGAAGGATATCTGATAATTTCCAGGCTAACATAAAAATGTTCTGGAAACTCGTAAGAACTGCCAGGGGAAATACAAAATAGCCTATAATAAATGCTATAAGAGACGAGAATGGATGTATTCTGAATGATGAAGTTTCGAATTTAAACAGATGGAAGGAATACTTTGAAAGCGTGTTTATGAGTGAAGAGTCGTATGAATTAAATGAACTAGAAATTCCGAAAGAAGTGGAAAGGGGTATGGAGATAAGTGTAGATGAAATAATGAAAGCAATGAAAAGCATGAAAGCAGGTAAGGCAGCTGGATATGATAGAGTATCACTCGAGATGCTAAGGGCTGGAGAGGGAGTGGTGGCAGGCCTGCTGTACACCTTGTTTAATTTATGTTGGGAATTAAAACGGGTACCGGATGACTGGTGTAAAGCAGTTATAGTACCAATATATAAAGGAAAAGGGTCACAGCAGGACTGCAAAAACTACCGCGGTATCAGCTTGCTTAGTATTGTGGGTAAACTGTATGCTAAGGTGTTAATTGAAAGAGTTATGAAAGAAACTGATGGAAAAATTTGGGATGTGCAAGCGGGTTTTAGAAAGGGAATGGGGTGCACAGATCAAGTCTTTTCCATGCGCATGATTGCGGAGAAGTTTTTGGCCAAAAACCAGAAAGTTTTTTGTGCGTTCATGGACTTGGAAAAGGCTTATGACAGAGTGGACAGGAATGTGTTATGGCAAACACTGAACTCATATGGGTTGAGCGCTGGTTTGATACAGGCATTAGGGTCTCTTTATAGGGACTCTAGTGCTTGTGTCAGGATCAATGGGGTCTACTCGGACTGGTTTGGCATCCAAAAAGGTGTCAGACAGGGCTGTGTAGCTTCCCCTTGGCTGTTCAACCTATTTATGGACCGGTGTTTGCAAACTTTGAAAGATGAAGAATGTGGTTTCAGAATGGGCGAGTTAACCGTCAAATGCCTTTTGTATGCCGATGATCAAGTCATATTTGCGTCATCAGCGGCTGAGTTGCAAATGATGGTTACATTAATGAACTGGGAATTAAAAGAAAGGGGAATGAAAGTGAACGCAAGTAAGACGAAAGTGATGGTTTTTGAAAGAGAAGAAAGCAAAACGGTATGTGAAATAAGAATAGAAGGAGAGTTAATTGAGCAAGTGGATGAGTTTGTGTATTTGGGATGTGTATTTAGCAGGGATGGTAGATATGATAGGGATATAGAACGACGAGTAAATGCAGGGAATAGAGTGAATGGGGCACTACACTCTATTATGAAGAACCAGAATGTGTCAAAACAGGCACGTATGGTAATTCATAATGCTGTGTTAGTCCCTACGTTAATGTATGGCAGTGAAAGCTGGGTGTGGCAGAAGAAGCACGAAAGTAGAATAAATGCTGTAGAAATGCGTTCTTTAAGAAATATGCTAGGGTTTAATCTGAATGACAGGGTGAGAAATTGCGTGATAAGAGATAAATGTGGTATGCAAGATGATGTTGTGACCAGGATTAAGAAAGGAATGCTTCGGTGGTTTGGTCACGTAGAAAGAATGAATGATGAAAGAGTGACAAAGCAAATTTATATGGCAGATGTGAACGGCCGAGTCGGGAAGGGACGCCCTAGAAAAAAGTTTGTCGACCAAATTGGCGATATTTTGAAAATGGGCCACGTTAGAAGTACCCTTAACCGACGAGCATGTATGCGTAGATATATGGATGTAAAGGAGGCGAAAGAGGTATGTCAGGATCGTGCCAAATGGAAGTCCGTAATCTCTGCCTACCCCTCTGGGTGACAGGCGTGAGTGTTTATGTTATGTTACATATGTTAAAATATTGTTCGAAAATTTATTGAATTGATAACGATTTTTTTTCTTAATTGGTGCCTCGTACGTAAAGAATCTCATATAACTGAAAATGTTTGTTCTTGTGAGTCTTACAAGATGCCGTAATGCAAATTGCATAAATAATAAAGAAAAAAACTAAAAAGTCGGTGATTGCCCCATAGTGGGGATAGGTACTGTAGGTATGTAAATTCTCACAAGAATACTCCGACTGGTCAATCACTTCACATCCGAAGTATTTCGGTTTTTCTTAATTATGTACTTTTACCCCATGCTTTTGGACAATACATTGACTGACATTATTTGCGGTCTCTGTGCGTACACTACTCTGTACATTCTTTTCCGACTGGGTCTTGATATTTTACATTTTTAGTGTTTCTCACTTGAAGAAACTAGAAAAGTATAAATGATCAGTTTGGCTAATGTAAATGAGTAAAAAATGCAACCTATTAGGCAGCCTCAAACAAAAAATTACCTTACTAAATATAAGTATTTACCTCAAAATACAACATTCGAGCAGCGTTCATGCGATAAACTCTCTTTGTTTTACCACTTAGGTAACATTTTTTTTCCTACCCATATTTAGATTTATAGACACTTAAACGCGTATAAAACAATAAATTAACGATTTTCGCTACAGACACATCGACTGTTGTTACCTTACGTCACACGTCGAAGCGCCTGGTAATTTATTACGGCAAACTTTTATCTGGCAATATACGATATTATTATTAGGTGTTTTTAATTAAAACGAATTATGTTAATAAATAATATTTTGTATCGAAAATAAAGATAGCAGGTACCTTCGGAATCACAAAACATTTTTACGTAAAAGAATTTTTCCTAAATTAAAATTCACAGAGTTTTGGAAGAACAATAATTTTATATATCATTTCTTAACATTCTTTTATTTGTTGGTATATTCATTTATTTTAAAATTTTAAAATGACGGTGACATTGTGAAGGACCCGAACAAACCTACAAAAATGTTTTAAAGCTTAGAATTACTTCAGGTCAAAGTTCTAGTCAAGAGAAATACATTAATTTTCGCCAGTTCTCTTCGTATTCGGCCTTAATAGAAAACTTCCAATTAATCGAATAATATAACTTTATAACGATATACTGGTACTGTACATGTTGACGGTACGAGCTTTATGAGTCGCTATTTCTAGTCCCATTCTTTATTCGTACGGATTGTAGATAACTGTAGATTAAAATTATAACATCCTCCTGTGATTTATATGTACGAGATAAGCCCATGTGCATCAATCAATCAGTCCACCTGTAGATTTTGGTGACTATGGTAAAATTTTCGTACAATAGGAATGTCACAAGCAGTGAACAGGAAGAGGAATGAATGGTGGGTAGTAGGTGAGAAGCAGGGGCAGGCACTGACTTGATCCAGGACTCCTCGTCGGCGATGTCGCGGAAGAACTGGTGCAGCGTGTTCGCCTCATGCAGGCGCGCGCGGCGGTGCGCGGCCAGGTTACGCACGCGCTCGAAGCGCTCGTTGATGGCGGCGCGTCGCGACCCGATGCCCGCGCTGTCGAACTGCCCGCTCGACACCAGCGCGTCCGCCTGCGCGTTCATGTCTGCACGCACGCACACACATTAATTACTGGTGCAACTTTCCTACGTGGTAGAGCCACGCTTGCACCTATATTATGCTTGTAGCACGAATGGCTCGGATCGACCGGGGTAAGACCACGCTCTTAAAGAATATCAGTGATCAGTGTAAAATAGCAGCTCAATGCTGCTGTGTGTCGAAAAGTGAGTGTAACCAAAAACCATTTTTTCTGGAAATGAGATATTCCATCTTCATCATCATCATTACAGCCCTTCACAAGTCCACTGCTGAACATAGGCCTCCACCAAGTAATGCTACAAATCACGGTCCTGAGCCACCTGCATCCATCGACTTCCTGCATGTCTTACCAGGTCGTCACTCCATCTAGTGGGGGGCCGCTCTACACTACGCCTACCGGTACGAGGCTGCCACTCGAGAACCTTACTTCCCTATCGGTTCTTCGAGCTATATGGCCGACCCATTGCCACTTCACTTACTAATCCGTTGGGCTATGTCGGTCACTCTGGTTTTACTGCGGATATCCTCATTTCTGAGTCTATTACGCAAATAAACTCCGAGCATAGCCCTCTCCACAGCTCGCTGAGCGACCTTGAGCGTCCTCATACGGCCAGCAGTGAAGTACCACGTCTCAGACCCGTAAGTCATCACTGGCAACACGCACTGGCCATCTTATGGGGCACTTTTTTTTCAGAGATTGAGGTATACCTGACGAGAAGATGTGTCGTAATTTCCCGAACGCTGCCCAGCTGAGTTGAATCCGTCGATTGACCTCTCGGTCGAAGTTGGACTTACCCAGTTGGACTATTTGTCCCAGGTAAACATACTCGTCAAAAATTTCGAGCATAGTGCTCGCAACAACTACCGGCATAGGTGTGACATAGACATTATATCTTCTTCATCTTTCTCTGATCTTTGTTTTGTCCATGTTCATCTTAAGACCTATCCGTTGGAAGACACCATTGAGGCCATTGAGCATAGTGCTAAGGTCCTCCAGCAATTCTACCATAAGGACTATATCGCCGGCAAATCGAAGGTGAGTGATGTACTCGCCATTGATGTTAATACCGTATCCTTTCCAGTCCAGTAGCTTGAAAACGTCTTCAAACGCAGCGGTGAAGAATTTCGGGGATATAACATCACCCTGTCTTACACCTCTCTGCAGTTGGATAGGTTTCGAACTCTGGTTCTGTACTTGGATAGCCATCGTAGCCCTACTGTACAAACACTTCAGCACTTCGATATACCGACAGTCAACTTGGCACCGCTGAAGGGACTGTAGCACCGCCCAAATTTCGACGGAATCAAAGGCTTTCTCATAGTCCACATATGCCAGGCAAAGTGGCAGATTGTACTCTTCGGTCTTCTGTACAATCTGCCGCAGGGTATTTATGTGGTCTATGGTACTAAAGCCTTTTCGGAAACCGGCTTATTCGGGAGGCTGGAAGTCGTCGAGTCTGCGTGCGAGACGATTCGTAATGACTCTCGAAAACAGCACGTAGAAGCGGCTCAGAAAGAAAATCGGACTGTAGTTCTTCAAGAGAGCGTTGTCGCCTTTCTTAAAGAACAAGACCAGCGCGCTTCTGCTCCACGCCTCCGGAGTAGTGCCACCATGGAGGACGGAATTGAAGAGCTTCTGAAGGACTTCAAGTACCGGTGTTCCACCCGCTTTCAGAAGCTCCGCTGTAATTCCATCCTCGCCTGGGGCCTTGCCGTTTTTAAGGTGCTGGAGAACCATTCTAATCTCGCTCAGACTGACGTCCGGGATATCATCGGAATAGTGTCGGATAAGACTTGCTGTTAGATCGTTACTCACACTTGCGTGTGGCTCCAACGATGATGTGTACAGCAGCCCATAGAACCTCTCAATTTCACTCAAAATCTCAGGTGTCCCGGAAACGATGCTGCCACACTCAGTCTTCAGCTTTGAGGCTCTTTCTGGCAGACAGATCTCTCAAAGACTTTGGCGCCCTGGTTCCGCTCGATCGCCTCTTTAATACGAGCAGTATTAAAGTTGCGTAAGTCTCGCCGCATGCATTTGGAGATCTGTTTGTTCAGTTGCCTGTATGCTGTCAAATCTGTTGACGATTGCAGCCTCATCTCCCGTCTAACAGCCATGATATTAAGAGTGTGATCGGAGAGTTTTTGTGTTCTTCTGCGGCGGGTCTTGCAGAACTTAGCTCCGACCGCATGGACAGTTTCCACGAGCTTGTCATTCATATCGTCCACTGCATTGCAATCTTCTAGGCACTGAAAGCGGTTACGTAACTCGAGCTGAAATGTTTTGGGATTCTGAATAAGAGCACAAGGGGACGGAGCGTTGACTTCATTAGACGAGACCTATCCAACTTAACGTTTAATCTCAGTGTGCCTCTAACCATTCGGTGATCGCTGCCAGTTTTCACCCGTACGATCACTGAAACATCACTGAACAGTTGGCGTCTGGTCGTTATAATGAAGTCAATCTAATTTTTTGTAGAACCGTCGGGGCTCGACCAGGTTCACTTCCTGTGGGGCCGCTTCTGGAAGAAAGAGTTCATCATAAAGAGTCCCTCTTTCTCCATAAAGTCGGCCAGCTGCTGGCCCCTTCGGTTCCGTTGCATTACTCCAAATTTCCCTAACTTCAGCTCACCGTTTTCTCTTGTGCCTAGTTTTGCATTGAAGTCTCCTATCAACATCGTGTAGTGAATTTTGGAGGAATGCATGGCTCTGGAAATATCCTGATACATTTCCTCCACTTCCTCATCGGGATGTGCCGAGGTTGGTGCGTATACCTGTATGACCTTCAGCGAATACCGTTTGGTGATTCTGGATATCAGGTACGCGACCCTCGTCGACACACTCCCAATCTTTACAACGTTGTTGACGAGAGACTTGTGGACGATAAATCCGACACCTCCTTGGGACAGATGGTCGCCCTCCCGGTGATAGAACAAGTTGCCGGACTCGATGATTGCCGTGTCCTCCCCCTCTCTTCGGACCTGGGATAATCCAATAATATGCCAGCGCAACTTGTCTACCTCTTCTTCCAGCTCCAGTATCTTCTCGTCAGTCCTCAGGGTGCGTGCGTTATACGTTGCCAGGTCGAGTCGTCGTAGGTGGCAACCGAACCTCCACCGGAGATTCTTAGCACCCCTGCCCCGCCGTTGTTTGCGTCGTTATTCATGGGGGGATATTTGCCACAGTTGCCACACCGCAGTTTTTTATTATATAACTGTTGTTATCAGGAAGATGCTGCTGCCCATCTCCTGCCTGTCTCCCTCTGTCGCCTCTTACGACACCCACGGGAAGATATGGGGTAGTGGATATTCTCAACCGCCACTACACGGCGGCTCCATCTTACTCCTCAAGAATTTAATTTAGATTCTCAATTGCAGGTAAATGTATACGTCTATGGGCCGCAACATCCGCTTACCATCAAGATGGGACTGTTCATTATATAAAAAAATAAAACTAAGACATTAAAGCAAGACGACCTGCACAATAGAGCCGAAGCCACCAGTGGAGATCGAGCTCAGCGACAGTTCCCTAGAGTAAGAAGAGGACGGCATTCTACCGTCAAACTTTAAACTCTGTAACTGACGACGAGCCCGAGATCTGCCGGTAGGCTTATTTTTGTAGTGCCCTTCGTGGTAAACTAGCCTCGTGCAGACCAACCTCCACCACAGCGAAACAGCGTGGGCTCAGTTACATAAGTGATTGGAGGCTCAACGGACAGCCATAGTCAGGAGCCGTGGGTTAGGGCTGGTAAAATCAAAGGTCTGAGCAACCTTAAAGTTAAGCTATACTACAACTCTTATCATGACATGTCTAGAGAGTGTATTAACACTACCATCTCTATGCACAACCATAAATAGATTTCTGTTTCAGAGAAATGCATGCCGTAGCATTACAAAATACACAGGAGGGAAGAATAATCGTCGCCTTAGTCCACATGCTGGAGGAAGACCCTCCGAATTTCTGCGGAAGAACTGGACTAGAAGTTGTGATCGGAATGGACTCCAACGCGCATCATTCACTCTGGAGAATGGAAACACCCAACAAATGAGGTATGGTTTTAGTTTAATAACTCTTTAGCACTAACCTAACCATCTTAAACACAGGTTCCGAAACAACCTTTAAACAAACGTTGTCGATGATCAACTTTACTCTTGCAACAGAAGGACTAACTAACTAACTAATCAAGAGATAGCAAGTGTCGGGAGAGGCCTCATGCTCATACCATAAATATATCTATTTCGTGTTACAGGACAATATCACACTAAACCACCATGGAGAAATCCCCGCAAGACTGATAAAATAAAATACCTTAATAGGCTTATGTCTTCACTTACAGATTTTAAGGGGACGAACACTATAGATTGATATATACTATATATTTTTCCTAGACGAAAAGGTAGTAGCTGTTACTAAAGCCATAATAGACAGCTACCATGAAGCATGTCCAGAAATCACTCTACCAAGTGCTGAGGGCAAGCAATCTTGGTGTGGCAAAGACGATTTTAGATAAGCCTTAAATGGGGCCATGAATACTGCTACACGATAAGTAACATGTCTACAGCTTAGGCAAATCGACAGAATTGGCACTTAACAAACTTATAACAAGGATTGAAGATAAAAATATAAACTACTTCGCAACCTTCCGCTGACTAAATACAATGATGTGTCTTACCTGGATTGAAGAGCACCTCCCGCCCTCCCTTAATTGCATGCACTAACTCCGTCACCACTACTCCCAATACCGCTATCCCAGGTAAGACACACCATCGACGATAATACGACACGTGTTTCGCCTCTACACGAGGCATCCTCAGGTAATGTAGACTCTACGGCGGCTGACCGCTAAGTGACTTATGCTAAGAGGATGCCTCGTGTAGAGGCAAATTTAGCTTTAAAATTGAACGCATTAAGCTCGGTAGCATGACAAAAGACAAAAACTTCATAAGTGAATATTAAATTACCCACATTCAATTTACTTTATTAGTTAACAAAGTAAACAAGTACCTCCAAATAAAATAACAATAAATCTTTGAATATGACAGCTGATAAATCTCAAACCGTCCCAATAAAGAAAGACTGGGGTTTCTTCACCTCTCATGTGAAATATGGTCATAAATGAACTCGTCAGCAAATTAAATGCCAATCACTTCTATACAATAGGTTATGCAGATGACCTGACAAATCCTGGTCTCGGGAAAGGCAGCAAGCATGGTGTATGCAACCTGACCCAAACAATTGTCCATATACAGGAGAGTTGGTGGTTTTGGTGCTTGGCTCTTTTGGGGATAGCTTTTCTTCACAAACCAAGGTCCAAATAGTAATTGTAGTTTGGATGCTTGCACTAACCACTGACCTGGACAATGGAGCTTAAGAACTACTCTACTTCATTGTAAAATAAATAAAATCATATATTTATCATGATTTCCAAAGTTGATACTGCATTGACTTAGTTGATACTTAGGTTGAATGACTTATAATTCTTACGGCGTTATAATATGCTTTATACAGTTTACACTTTATTACACACCTGTTATGGTGACACTTGATGTAAAGTTAACATCTATTATGTCAGTTGTTACAATGTTTGACACTTGATACTGGCCAAAAGGACATACATAACCTTTGTTACAAACGATATTAAAATGACAGTTCTAGATAAATATCAGTTAATTTAATCATGAATTAACTAATGTGTAGAAACATATTTTTTAACTTGTTATAGAATATATTGCACATGTTCATTATCAGTTATGTAACATATGATAAATGACACAAAATTACATGTACTCCAACAAAATAAGATAAAAACGTGTGATATATTCTGTTTCATTTTGTAAGAGGACTCTTTTACTTAACAGTTAGGAAATGTGTAGTAGTATCAGTATAATTTAAAAATTAATTTTTACACATGTTTTCAGATATGTTACATAATATATTTTGTCACATGTACATTGTCCAATAAACAAAGAATCTAATAAAAATAACTTAAGGTAATTTCTGTTTTGTATCGTAAGAATAGATTCCCGAAAATATATTCTGCACATGTTATGTTAGATCGTGTTATCATAAAATTATATTTAGCTCTCTCTATAATATAATTTTAAATATTTATTGTTTTATTCAATTTCTGTCTGAACCATTGTCTAATGCTGCTCAAATGGTATATAATTTAGTTAATATTTTGTGTAAATAATTTAAGAAATTGTAGTGTGTTATTTAGTTATAATGTACAATGGGACTGATATGTTAAAAATAACGTAAGTCCCCAAATAAAAAAAAATTAAAAAAAAAAACTGAACAGAGATTTCATTGGAAAATAGAATGAATTTAGCTCACCATTAATTCGGTCTTCATGCGCCTGAATGTCGGCCTCGACGAGCTGGTGTTTCTTCATAAGGTTCTGCACTGAGGCGAGGTCTTTGCCAGAATCTTCAGAGGTCAGCAGACTTTCAACCTTTAACCAATGTTATATGTATTTGGTTTGTCTTTTTTACACATATTTTATATAATTATATATCAATTATTATTATTAAGAGAAGCAGTTGAAAGAAAAAAGCAAGAAAGAACGGATAAGAATGTTAGAAGAATATCGGATAACTTCCAGGCAAATATTAAAATGTTCTGGAAACTTGTAAGAACTGCCAGGGGACGTTCAAAACAGCCTATGATGAATGCTATAAGAGACGAGAATGGCTATATGCTGAATGATGATTTGAGTTTAAAGAGATGGAAGGAATATTTTGAAAGCGTGTTTATGAGTGAGGAGACAACGTGTGTACTAAGTGAAGTAGAAATTCCGAAAGAAGAGGAAAAAGGTAGCGAAATAAGTATAGATGAAATAATGAAAGCAATGAAAAGCATGAAAGCAGGTAAGGCTGCCGGATATGATAGAGTTTCACTCGAAATGCTAAGGGCTGTAGAGGAAGTCGTGGCAGGCCTGCTGCACACCTTGTTTAATTTATGCTGGGAACTGAAGCGGGTACCGGTAGACTGGTGCAAAGCCTACCTAAGCCTACAAAGTAAAAACTACCGTAGCATTAGCCTTCTTAGCATTGTGGGAAAACTGTATGCTAAGGTACTTATTGAAAGGGTCATGAAAGAAACTGATGGAAAAATTTGGGATGTGCAAGCGGGATTTAGAAAGGGAATGGGATGTACAGATAAAGTCTTTTCCATGCGCATGATCGCAGAGAAGTTTTTGGCCAAAAACCAAAAGGTTTTTTTGTGCGTTCACGGACTTGGAAAGGGCCTATGACAGGGTGGATAGGGATTTGCTATGGCAAACACTGAACTCATTTGGGTTGAGCGCTGGCTTGATACAGGCATTGGAGTCTCTTTATAGGGACTCTAGTGCTTGTGTTAGGATCAACGGGGTCTACGCGGACTGGTTTGACATCCATAAAGGTGTCAGACAGGGCTGTGTGGCTTCCCCGTGGCTGTTCAACCTATTTATGGACTGTTGTTTGCAAAATTTGAAAGTTGAAGAATGCGGATTAAGAATGGGTGAGTTAACCGTCAAATGCCTTTTGTACGCCGATGATCAAGTTATTCTTGCGTCGTCGGCGGCCGAGTTGCAAATGATGGTTACATTAATGAACAGATCATTAAAAGAAAGGGGTATGAAAGTAAACGCAAGTAAGACGAAGGTTATGGTTTTTGAAAGAGAAGAAAGTAAAACGATTTGTGAAATAAGAATAGAAGGGGAGTTGATCGAGCAAGTAGATGAGTTTGTATATTTGGGCTGCGTATTTAGCAGGGATGGGAGATATGATAAGGATATAGAACGACGAGTGAATGCGGGAAATAGAGTAAATGGGGCCTTGCACTCTATTGTGAAGAGTCAAAATGTGTCGAAAAAGGCACGTATGGCAATTCACAATGCTGTGTTGGTCCCTACTTTAACGTATGGTAGTGAAAGTTGGGTGTGGCAGAAGAAGCACGAGAGTAGAATGAACGCCGTAGAAATGCGGTCGTTAAGGAGTATGTTAGGGCTGAATCTGAATGACAGGGTAAGAAATTGTGTAATAAGAGAAGAGTGTGGTTTGCAAGATGATGTTGTGACCAGGATTATGAAAGGAATGCTTCGGTGGTTTGGTCATGTGGAAAGAATGAATGAGGAAAGAGTGACAAAGAAAATTTATGTTGCAGAAGTGAATGGCAGAGTCGGAAAAGGACGTCCTAGGCGAAAATTTATCGATCAAATTGGCGATTTGTTGAAAACGGGCCAAATTAGGAGTACCCTTAACCAACGAGCATGTATGCGTAGGTGTATGGATGTGAAGGAGGCGAGAGAGGTGTGTCAGGATCGTGCCAAATGGAAGTCTGTAGTCTCTGCCTACCCTCTGAGTGACAGGCGTGAGTGTTTATGTATGTATATTTATATATCAATTATACATAATTAACCGTCGTAACAGTTGTACACTGAATATGACTTGATGTGCACTTGTTTATTTAAATGTATATATTATTATGTATCAGTAATTGTAGAAATAATTAGTTAATATTAACTGGAAGCCGTAAATTCATGTAAAACATTATTTAGATGGTCCTAATTAAGGATATAGGAGAAGCTGAAAAAAATATTTTTTTATATATTATATGAAAAGTTTTTATTTACCTCTCCGAGCCAAAAGTCGAGGTCCTTTACAGCGGCGATGTAAGTGCGTTGCTTGTTTGCCTCCTTCAGCTTCAGCGACTTCTCCGTAGTCTTCTGTGTGAGGAACTCCCATTGGTCGGCAATCGATGCGAGACGAGCCTGTTAAATTAAACAATCATCTAAATTATCGTTACTTTATTAAGATCACATGTTAATATATTATAAAATTATTTAATCTCTTAGTAGTATAATTCTTCTGGACACTACACGTGTAAATCTAAATTCCAGTACAAGTACAAGATTCCAGATTCCTATTTGATTGAGTATTAGATAAATGCAGTGGTGTGAAAAGATCTTGAATCATATGATCATTATTTTATTAATTAATAAAAAAAACATCTAGCAATAAAGAAATATTCTGATTATAGTATATTTTCCACTTTTTAGTTACACAAAGTTTAATGATCGACAGTATACGACTATTCCGACGAAAAAACAAATAGTTGCTTTTAAACCTTCGTCTATTTACGACAGACTATATAGCATAAACATTACATTGAACTAAACTTTTAAAGTGACAGGTTTCTGTAGCTAAATCTAGTTTTATTAATTAACAAATGATCATATAATCTACTTGTTGGTAATTAGATGTCGTGGAGCATAAAACACCTACATTTATTCTCAATTAAGAATCAAAATAAAGACATGTCGTAGCCGTTGACAACTAAGATAGAATGCCTTATTAAAAGTAAAAGGCTTGTTCTCTCCACTTACCATAAATTACACAGCAGCATTTTGCTGTTATTTCGAGCTTGTATTCTGTGAGTAACCGTGCCAGACCATGAACATAGTTGCACCGTGATATAAACACGATAAATCTCCTAGTACAGGTTAGTTTCTGTCTATTCGGAAGTAGTTTTATAAGTGGTAAAGCCACATTGCAGCTATATTAGTTGTAGCAAGAATGGCTGCTCGACAGGGTAGGACCACACCCTCACAGAATACCAGCTTAAAATAGCAGCTTAAGGTGGCTGTGTTTTATGGTAGGTATAGAAAAATGACAAGAAATGACTCTTTTTTGTGAAAATGAGGTGTTTCATCTTAGTCCTCAGCGGTGACAAAGCATCTGCATTTTTGATTTTTAATCGAGGATAAATGTGGATGTCTATTGTTTGTCACCCTTATTCTATTAAAAAATTCGTGGGGTAAGTGGATACGTATTCATCCAGATTAGTTTCTGTCTATTCGGAAATAGTCACTGCGGTGCAAACTAGAATATGTTGGCATCCAGATTAGTTTCTGCCTATTTTGAAGTAGTGACCATTAGTGTATATTGATGAGCAGGCTACGCGGTGCTACAGACCTGCACGGCGTCCTCGCTGCCGCTGCACTGGCCGCGCTGCACGAGGTTGCCACCCATGGCCAGCACGGACTGGATCCGCTCGGCGTTGGCTGCCAGCTCCGCCTCGAACGCCTGGTGCTTCTGGTGCTTCGACTGGATGTTCGCCGGGTCCTGACAACCAAACCAAACCAAACCAAAAACATTACAAACCTAATTATATAAGAAGTTTAAAGACTAGCTCAGACTTATTAGTACTTACCCCCTAATATGGTAAACTTGTAAAGTACATTGCCACTTCTGCTTACTAATCCATTGGGCTATGTCGGTCAGTCTGGTTCCACCAGATATCCTCATTTCTAAGTTTATCACACAGAGAAACCCCAAGCATTACCCTCCCCATAGCTCACTGAACAACCTTGAGCGTTTCCATACGGCCAGCAGTGAAGGTTTACGCCGCAGATCCATAAGTCATCAATGGCAATGGGCCGGCTATATAAGCTCGAAGAACCGACAACCGATGGGGAAAAAGGTTCTCGCGTGGTAGCCACGTACCGCGGTAGGCGTAGTGTAAGGCGACCCCCCACTAGATGGAGTGACGACCTGGTAAGAAATGCAGGAAGTCGATGGATACACAGGTGGCTCAGGTGCTTTGTGGCATTCCTTTGGGGGGCATATTTTCAGCGGTGGACTTGTGAAGGACTGTAATGATGATGATGACGATGATGATAAAGTGCATAATGTTAACAAATGTTTTCATTATCTATTTTAATAAAGGTTTGAATTTTAAGAGACTACAATCACTATATTTGCGATTGCTATGTAAAGCTATTTGTATTCCATTTCAGTAATATTCAGGTTACTTTCGTGCAAAGGAGTGTTGTATATTTGGATGAACAAGAATACCTATCGCAATAATGTCGGGATATTTTCGGGCATCAAAGAGATCCCAGGTCGAAAATAATAAGTGATAGCCTCACCTTGTAACTCTCTTCTGTTGCCAGCTGCAACTTCTCTGCAATCCAGTTCTCCATTTCGTCGGCGTCGCGGGAGAACTGCTGTAAGGTCTGTTCATCACCCAGCCTAAAGAATTGAGTATGAAATTATATTTTCTGTTACTCCAAGAAATTTTTGAGTGGATTTCTACCATAAACATTTTACAAAATCAATTTTAACAAATTGAAAGTAAGCAAAACAATAATTGTTTAAAATAGCGTACCTAGATCGCTTCTCAATGAGAGCCTCCTTGAGATGACGCCAGCGGTCGAGGACCTGCTTGCGTTTCTTGTCGATGGGATCGGCGGCGTAATGATCTGACGCGATCAGCTGATCGGCCAACGTTTGCAGTTGAGCAATCTTTTCTTCCTGTCAGTAAAAATCGATATAATTAAAATAATTTAATATTTGAAAATTATATTAAATCATATATATTTGAATTATAATAATTACTGGGAATAACGAGATCGCTTTCCAGTTGTTTCTTCATATAATAATTCAAACAAATAATTGTATAATTGTATAATATAATCCTGTTAGGTTTCTTGTTGGTTTTTTTGGTTAGATATTTCCCGAATAAATAGTAAATTAAAAACTAAGTCTGTGGATTTTTTTAAAGGATATACTATATAAAATAAGCGAAAATAGATTGACATTGACAGCTGGGGTGTCCTTGTAGAGACACCAAGTTGCGAACTTATTTAATATTACAAATACATATAATTTGCTGTGGATAACAGAATTTAAGGCCTTCTAAGTTTACTGTCTGGTTGGGTTACAACTTTATTACCCTTCAAACGATAGATAATTAATTATAGAATAATTATTATGTGTCTGGTTCCATACAACAGATAATATTTTATATTATTCATACAAAATTATAAACATAATATTACAAAAGTTAATATTACTATAAGCGTTTTGCTTATATTTTTTATTGTAAAAAATATTGGCCGAATGAATATTTTTTATTTATCTGATTTTCGGACGATTGGTAACAGCTAAATACATATAATAAATAAGCATAATAAAGTAATCTATATAGTCTAAAAAACATTCTATTCTTATATAAGTGTAAAAAAAATACGTGTGGCACTCGGTGACTGCCGCGGTAAAGCTATTGCATAGCATTTTTATCAACTTATGCAATTATAATTATTTATTTATTTTATTTATGCAATTAAGTCTTTGATATTAAATCAAGTTACACTTTTTGAGCGTGGTGACCGATAAGAAATCAATTTTTTTTCTCTTATTGAATAAATGAGAAGTTAATATTGTTTAAAATATTTTTAATATATTACAATACATGTAGGTTATTCAGGAATTTTTATCATTGAGTTAGCAGAATTTTTTATCACTGAGTTAGTGTACACGCATACGTCTAGTCGCACGCACACAAACACCGTGCCGAAGTCTGCCGAGTGCTGAAGTCTGCCGAACTAAAACGACGTTAGACGATGTACGGCTTTCAACGCCACACCTCCGTGCCCGTCGGAGTGGGGAGCGTGAGGTTTTTTCGTTACGGAATTTCTGGATTCGGTCCCCGCGCTCAAGGCACGCGATAGAAGCTATGCAACAGCTTAAAATTAATTTTGTTTGGGAAAATCTTGGGTTTATGGAAGAAACACCTCCTAACTGATTGCGGAGCCTTAATGTACTGGCGTAACACTAATTTGGGAAACTACGTACTTAGCTCAGGAGAAGTAAAATTGCTCACAGCTAAGCAACTCCTTTAATTCATTGAAGGTATAGGGCTTATCAGTGAATAATGGTCTTAGCAGTGATCACAATAGAACTTATTGGTCGCTGTGATACTGGTCTTATTAGACATACATAGCTATTTCCACAAACAAAACAAAAATATAAAGGGTAATCCAAAATTAAGGTCAAAAATCTGATCTAAAGTACAGGTCAAAGCCTAGATGAGGATACTATGTAACACATGCTAGGTATCGGTGTACTGACGTGCGCGTTGATGGCCTTGTCGAAGTCCTCGTGCTTTTTGATGAGCTGCTCAACGTTGTCCGGCGCCGCGGCGTCGGGCTGGTCGTGCGGGTCGTGCGCGTCGGCCGGTGCCAGGAAGGCCTCGCGCGCCGCCATCCAGCCCTCCGCCTGCTCGCAGTCGCGCAGGAACAGTTGCAGCTCCAGGTTCTGGTCCAGCTTCATGCGCCGCGCCACCCACGCCCTGCACCACCACACAACGTTCATTCAACACACATACAACACACTACACACTCAACACAAATACACATCAACATTTAAACCTATAAAGTACTTAATGATTGGTATTTAACAATCTTCACGTAAATATTTAATAATTAATTATTGTTACCAACATTTACAAATAAACATATCGTTAAAGCTATGATGGAGAGGTGGTAATCTAAAAGGATTTATAATTAATTGTATCAATTTCAATCAATAGTTAAATAATATGAAATAGTAGCTTAACACTGCTGTGTTTCGTATGGTGAGTGTAGAGACCGGAGACCATTTTTACTGGAAACGAGGCATTCCATCTTAGTCCTCACGGGGACAACGCATCTGCAGTTTAATTCGTAATCGAGGATAGATGTAGATGTCTACGGGCTGCAGTAACTACTTACCATCAGGTGGACTGTGTGCTCGTTTGTTACCGTATCCTATATTAAAAAAAATAACAATATAGTTACTTAGAAAATAGTAATTTTTGGTTCTTACAATTACATACACAAATTACATGTTATTAGTTTTTATTCAAGGTTACTTAATATGCTCGAAATATTTTTTTTCACGAGACGAAGGTAGACACGGGTCAATAAACTACACCTTCAAAATAAAAAAGCGGCTTTTTCATTACGATATCCTCTATATAATCGATGGTGCATCTATTAGTGACCCTGTATCTTTCAAACTGCATTACCGAGTAGATCATAGTCACGCAATATAATAATTTTATAGAGCCGATAATTCGTAACTATGCTAGGATCCTATTAAGTAGCACTGTGATGTTGTTATTCACATCGCGCCACCTATGTAACAAGGCAGAATAACGCAAAAGCAAAGCAGTAATAAGTCGTAATATAAAATGCATTTGATATTGATTTTCAGGAATTAATAAATAAACACATTTAAAGAAAATAATAACATTTTAAGAATCCACTGTAGGGCGTGAGCACCCTCTCTCTGAAGATGTATTTGTCATAGTATCTTAGCTCGTCAAGCAAATTGGCAACCGTAGCACTAGATGATTCGCTCGTTTAATGGCTACGTAAGTATTTTACATCGTGACGTCAGGTTCCATACAATAAGCAACACAACTAGTTTCAGAAAGTGTTTTTGTAGTTCAAAAAACCAATTATACATTTAGTGCTTAACCACAGAAATTTTATTACTAGCGATGGAGAACAGTTTCAATGGTATGTTTGGTGTTGTCCTTGCCAACTGTGGTTATTACGAAAGTTATTAAGAGGGCCTTACTTCAGATTCACCTCACTTAAAATGTTTCTCTTAATTATCAGAGATTAAGGTTAATGACATAATTATAATTAAAATGGGGTTGTGTGTGGCGACTTACTTCTCGAGGTCCTGGCGTGCGTCGGCCATGGCGTTGAGCTTCTCCTGTATGTCGACGCTAGCGTAGTGGCCGCCCTGCAGTAGCTGCTGCCCGAACAGCTCCAAGGCCTGGAACGTGCCCGCGCGCGCGTCCATCTCCGTGCGGTGCTCCTGCACAACGCAACGCATCACATACCTTAAACTCAAGTTATATATTTAGAAATGTACAATGTCGTTTATAAAATTGATCATCCTTTAGGTATACTTTATAACTGTCTAAATTTCTAAGTAAAATGTTGTTTTAATGATAAATTACAGTTAAATTAATTAAGTAAAAACTGTTTATAACAAGTCGGGAGCATTAAAACGTTAAAAACCATAATTAAGACATTTATGACAGTAATTCATAAACTCCATTAACTATAGCATATTTTAAATAACAAAGATGCACAAATAATATAGACTTATGTTTAATATACATACAAATTGGAAGATCGCATGTTTTTAGTTATAAATACAAATATTTTTATATCGTAAATTTTAAATATATGAGAAACCACACACATACATACATACAACAAAAAGAGTTTAAAAAAAGATATTAAGTGAAAATTGAGATTTAAATAAAAGATAAACAACACACAAAAAATAAATAACTTTTATCACACAAATAGATAATTAAAAAAAATCGCCGACAACCTGTTTCAAGAATAATTGTTATTTTTGCTAACAGTTAAGCCGAAATAAAATATTAGATAACATTATATTTCTAAATATCTCTATAGGACAACACCGATATTGGAAAAAGCAAATTAATTTGTTATGATTTATCAACGTTTTGCACTACTAATAACGGTTAGTTAACTTAGTTGTGTCAAGTTTATTAAAATATGTGGTTTGTTTCAAACACTTTCTCTTATTGCACATTAGTTAGTTATTGAACTATTTGGTATTACCCTAGAAGAAAAGATCGAATAAGAAACATCGAGTGTAGTTTGTGAAACATCAAAAACATTATGTTTGCTCATGGTGATTATTGGATGTGGCAAGAGTAAAGTAAGGCTGGGAGCACACATGCGTGCAATGTCTGACCTGCGGCATAATGCCGTACCGCGCGTCTATCTCCAGCCGCTGAGTCTAAAAACACAGGCTCTGTTACTTAAAAAAAATACATACCTTGTGGCTGGCTTACAAAAATATGTTAGAGAATTTCCTTTTTTTCAATATCAAGGTGGTTTGTTTGGCACATGATGATTGAAAAATACTTTTAAATAACAATAAAGATATTATATCTGTACTGTTAATTCTCAGGAAGAACTAAACTAACAATAATTTACTTAAATATTTACAATTATACAGATCATTAAAAGAAAGTTTTGTTAAATTAGAAACCTCATTTAAAAAGGGACTGTTTTATGAAGATTGGACGTCTGACCATCAATTTGTTCCATAAAATTGGTTGACTCTGCAGGCCACCCCTGGAACTCAATTGCAAATGCAAAGCGCTCCAAAATTCATCAAATTATGACGTTGAATATGAAATATCGGAATAATTTAAAAAAAAATTCAAAATTTTCGTTAACGATATCTTACGACTGAACCAACCGATTTCGACCGGACCAGCGGCGATCGACATGGTTTTTCAAGTTTAAAAGCTAATTAGTTTTTGGAATCGATTGGTAAAGCCGTTTTAAAAGTTATTCCGAAAAACAGTTTTTAAAAATTATTATTTTAGAGATTTCTCAAAATACACCGGTCCGAATTAGTTAAAATTCATAGGAAATCTAAGTTTGATGAAACACTTCGGAAATCCGCTAGTTCTATATTTAGTTTATTTCAATCGGTTAAGCCGTTCAAAAGTTATAAGAGGTTTACATACATCCACAACCACACACGCACGCACGGACACCCCCACGTACGCACGCACGCACGTACGCACGTACGCACGCACGCTCGCTCGCACAGACATACAAACACCATCGAAAAAGTCATGGTGGCTTCCTGTGACCTCAAAATGTCAAGATTTGATGAAAACTCATTTTCGAAAAACGGGGTAAAAACAATAACTTTCCGATATTTGCAAATTTTAAATTTTCTTAGCGGGAAGTTCAAAAAAACAATACACATTAATAAAAATCAAATCAAATTTTGTACAATAAAGGTTAAGCGTCCATTTGAGGTGGGTCGGGTCGCAACGGTGTGGCGAGCATTTTGCTTACTGCGTTCACTATTCAGGGCAGGCCGCGCCGCATCGGCGGATTTTTACAGTCAGTCGTACGAATGACAAGCGACCTTACGGTAGTGTGACAATGGATAGCTCCGATCAGAAATTATTTTTATTAATGTTGCTGGATAAGGTTCAACAAAATAATAAATTTCGCAAACAGTCTGGGTTCACGATATATGCAAGAAAAGAAGATGTGAATTTCATCACTTATTTTATGACCTGAAGAATGATTCCGAATATTGTTGAACTAATGATTTATGCAGTTCCTCTTTTAATTTTTATGTAAATACATACGTCTCGCTCACTGCAATGTTCTACTACAAATGCTGTGCTCCATGCGTACACTTGAAACGGGGCGTACAGGGCGAGGTCGAGTTACGCCGACGGATTCCATCGCGGTCCGGCCCGCCCCGCCTCTAATCGGCGCGGTTTCATACAAAATGTATAGCAAGCGGATTTTTGTGTTGCGATGCGACCCGATGCGGCCCACCTGTTGGACGCTAACTTTAATGATGCAGGATGTGTATGTTGGTACTGACCTGATGTCTCTCGAGCAACGCCTCGGCGCCGGTGACGTCATTGGCGAGCTCGTCTGAACTCACCAGCGCCATCATCGAGTTGATCCATGCCATCAAGTCTCGGTAGTCTGACAAGAACCTAAACATAAAGCAGATTTCTCAGATATACATTTTGAGCTTATTCAAGTGAACACAATAATGTTACTGAATCTCTTTGTTTGTGGTAAAATTTCCATCACGTGGACGACATTACAGAGGTATTTTAAGCTTGTTGTGTAAGCGACTTGGTATACAGCCATCTTCTGAAAACTATAAGATTTTTCTGTTATTCCAGAACGAAATGGGGAATTGTATTCTCCTAGCCCACCACCGTGTCTTTTCCTTTTTTACTAGTGTCTCGAAACTTAGGTTTTTAGTGTTAAGTTCCATTAGATTATTATTTCTTAAAAGTATGCGTGTTATTAAGTTGCTCTTTTGTTGTTCTTAAGTGTTATTCTTATGTTGAAAGCTCTCATAAAAAGTATTTCAATTAAAATCAGTGTCAAGTAAATATGCTAAATAGTAATAAAAGTTAAACAAATTAGTTTTGCTTTATAGCAATGATCATCGTCAGCACCGACGGTGTTCGCGGGGAATACTAGAAGCCCGGGGGCTTTCTCACCACCGCGCCTAAGGCCGTCACTCGCCGATAGCTCGCGACCCGATCACCACCAAATTAGTTTTTATTTTGATTATTCAAATAAACAATTTTCCTATCGTGTGAGTCGCCTATTTTATTCATGTTCCCTAATTGAAAAAAGTGGCGACCGTGACAGGACCATACCAAAGGTAAAATTAGAAAGTTCAAGAATACTCATGAATAAATATGGTGAATAGTGAAATATAATATCAGACTGCAAGTATCTTTAGGCTTAACATTTAGTCTCACAATGAACTTGTTACATCTGCTTTTAGACATTTTATGTTCCCGCTATTCGACTGATATACCTGTTATTAGTTCTTAATACGTGACTTGTACAAGCACCATACATATTCGAAGTACACAATCGTTGATTCAAACAGAAAGCAACGCAGTCGCACAAGCGTCCAGTGCCGTGCTAGTTATGTGTGCGTGTGCGTACGTGTGTACGTGCGCGTGCGTGCGCTCACCTCTGCAGATCGTAGGAGTCAAGCAGCTTCTCCTTTCGCGCGTTGGCGCGCGCCTGCAGTTGCTGCCAGGCGAGGTTGATCTCGCGCTGCTTGCCGTACGTGGCGTCGGCGCAGTCGCCGTGCGACGCCATCAGCCGGTTGGCGGTCTCGTCCAGCTGCCGGATCTTGTCGCCCAGCGCCGCTAGGTCGCGCTCCAGCCCCTCGTGCTTACCTACGGTCATACCAATCACAGTACTGATTTACTACGTCTTTTGCAATGCGGTAGACCAAGCTAATGGAATAATTTTCCGGTGTCCGTTTTTCCTTCCGAATACAATGTGGGCGTCTTAACGACTAAAGTAAATAGGCTTTTGTAATACTCAGACAGTGTGATTTACCATTTATGGCTTTATCTCCACATATCACCAGATAAGATTTTGGTCAAGCACTGGCTTATAAAAAGTAAAAAAAGGAGCAGCTATGCAGCTCTAACTAGATTTGCGACCTTACATCTTCAATGATTTAATTAAGCTCCAAGGTTAAGAACATATTCACTTAGTCTAATCTTAGTAAGTAGTTCCCCAGACGAATACTACGTTTGCATATTAGGAGTCTGCAGGTGTGTGAAGGTGTTTCTTCTGCTAGAGAACAGAATCTACAGATCCTTAAATTGCTTAATTGCAAAATAGCCATGTTTTTTTTTATAGAAGATGTGACTTTTTTATCAACAATGTGCAGTCTCTCTTGCTTAAGTACGCAGTTTGTTCTTACTTAATTCATGGGCTTCAGATAAGAATTAACAATCATACACCTAGTTTACAGTTTGGAAATGTTTTGTTTAGTGTTTTCAATTAGATCTTGTGTATTTTTATTACAGAAATCGCAATAATAAGACGATAGAAGTGGCATGGATGCGTGACCATGTCGCCTATATGATGTGTTGACGAACATCATTCACCATTTTGTGATTTAGTTGTGCGAGGAACGTCGTACGTGAATTTATGTTATTATAATAATGAACTGCAGCACAATCAGTAGTAAAAACTCACCAAGGAAATGTAATTTAGCTAATAAAGACATAACATTTCATCGGTAAGATGATTATTTACTAATTATCATTGTTTTAACTAATTTACATATAGATGAACACTGTACTATGATATTTACCTTTGTAAACTTTCATTTATTACTTTTCGTATTGTACAATTAGCATTGCTGCTTTTGTTCTACCGTAATGAGCGACGCACGCGACGTCGACAAACTCGACAAGCAATGTAATGTGAAACATTATATTATATCATTATGCATTGCGTATGTTTATAATACGGTTGCAGGCATCAGTCGCTTAATGCGCATGTGTTAAAATGTGGCGACATCGGTTTTGGAAGTAATCGAGCGCTAATTCATTTCTATTGTCTTATTATTACTATTTCTGCGATTTTTATAGTAAAGAGATTTAAAGTATGCCATGATTCTCGTAAAACTTCTTGAGGCTTACTAGAAATGTATGGATTAATCAGTAATCATTAAGTACACCATAAGTCAACAGTGAAATGTGAAGTGAAGGGTAAACGGGACAGTTAAAATTGAGTAGTTTGGCCATGATGCCAGGAACAAAGTGGAGCAAGTTAGAAGACTAACGCTGCAACGTCTGTACGGAGCGCAGGTCCTTGCCCAGGTCGTCGGTGGCGAGCGCGGCGTCCTTCTCGGCGATCCAGTCCTTGGTCTCGTCCACGTCGCGGTGGAAGCGCTGCACCTCGTGCGCCGAGCCCAGCTGCGCGGCGCGCTCCGCCGTCAGCTGCTGCAGCGACGTCCACTTCGAGTTCAGCTCCTGCCGCCAACCAAACACCACACATAATATACGGTATGATTTACTAAAGTCATTCATAAAATTTATATTATTTTATAATTTAAAAAAATATTTCTATAAATAAAGAACAATAGAACTTTAAGTATTAACATCTATTAGAATACTTTAAATTAAAAACAAAACATTAAATCATTTGATCAAGAAATTTATTAAAATTAATTAGTATTAATACAATTTATCGTCACATTACAATTGCTAAAAAATAAGAACGTTGTGAATTTAATATTTTACGGCAATCCTTAATAAGACAAATAATAAAAATAAAATATACAACTTTAGTCGATAAAAGCTGTCTAGACGGACCTGCATCTGCGTCTTGATCTTCAGTGCAGCTTCGGTCTGACCGACGGTCATGAGCTGCACAGCGATCTCGTTCATCTCCGCGAGTCGGACTTCGTTGGCACGCAAGTCGTTCTGGAAGTCGTCGAACTTCTTCTGCATCACTTCTACTTGCTCCAGGTCTTCGCCCACGTCCTGCACTTGGGCGTGCATCTCCTGTGGAATAAAATTTTCATGGATTACACCTTACTGACTCTTGGAATGAATATCATTAGTTGGCAGGGTTCACTGTATACGGTTGAGAATACACCAATACTACAACGTGATTGGAACTGTATTTCTCTTAGTTTAGTTTCTGTGATTCAAACTACTTTTACGGATTTTATCGCGTTTATTTATGTTATTTTTAATACCCGACGTTTCGGGTGCTTTCCAGCACCCATGGTCACGGGGGACTCAGTCACCTCAGTCTGGTCAGATAAAATCCGTAAAAGTAGTTTGAATCAATGTATAGTGTTCGCGTATATATAAGAAATCATTAGTTTAAGTGTTTCGAAAGGCATTAACTATTGATTCTACCTATCACAATATACAACAAAAATAGTAGTTACATTTTAAAATCATCATCATCGTCATTACAGTCCTTCACAAGTCCACTGCTGAACATAGGCCTCCCCCAAGGTATGCCACAAAGCACGGTCCTGAGCCACCTGTATCCATCGACTTCCTGCATGTCTTACCAGGTCGTCACTCCATAATCCATATAGTGGAGGGTCGCCCTACACTTCGCCTACCGGTACGAGGCTGCCGCTCGAGAACCCCCAACGGTTGTCGGTTCTTCAAATTATATGGCCGGCCCATTGCCACTTGAAAACTTTAAAACACTTGAAAATCAATATATCTGATAATAGGTGGTTTTGTATTATTATTCCAAGTTTGATTTTGTCTTCGACAATACATTAACGGTTCCGTGGCGTAGTGGATTAGAAATGAGCTGTAGCGCTGAGGGTCGCGGTTTCGAATTCCGAACGGAACAAGTGGTCCGCACGGATCTTTGTCGACAGCGATCTGGATGTTAGTACTCGTGAAATTTAGTATTATAAAATAGTAAACAGTAGAAAATCCTAATTAAAGAAAAGCACAAAAAACTATATTATAATATAAAAAACTATTTAGTTAGTTTTGTTTAAATAGCAATTTTTAGCTTGCTCGGTTGTAAGTGTAGCTGTGGTCAATTCCTCGTGTACGACGTACCTTGTCCTTGATCCATGTGGCGAGCTCGGCGGCCTCGCGCACCAGTACGTAGGCCTTCACCGTCTCATTCAGCTTATTCTGTCTCTCGCGCGCGAGTGCCAGCAGATTGTCATACTGCGCCTCGATCTGTATGAAGTTATAAAAACACCGTCATTTATTTTATAATACATTATACAGTGTAACATATTATGATCCTTTATATAAATAATATATGGCATGGGCTATTAATACGGACCTGGTTCTGCCTGGCCGCGATAGAGCTGGAATCGGCGAGGTTCTGTTGAGATGAAGAAAGACCTGCATCGATTTTCTTCACGTAGGCAGCCGGTACGAAACCTTGGCGGTCGTTGACTTCTACTTTCCACCAATCCTGATAAATAATAAGAAAATTTGTTAAATATTATTTTCGGAGTTATCTATATGAGTGAATAAACGAAATTTTTGAACATTCACTTTAGATAGGCTGTAAAGATTCGAAAACTTTCGTAGTGAGAGACTTGTTACGAGTGATTTAAGAAAAGACGAACGAAACTACAGCAGCATTGGTTTATTAAAATAATTATTCTGGGTGCACAACTATGTTTTTCTTCTTTATGGCTGTTTTAATGCCAATATAAATAATGAACACCAATGACAGCGTGAAAGTGTTCATACAATTTTGTTCTGCGTTGGCTATCAAAATGATACTTTTCCATAGAAATAGTGGAGAATAGCAGTATATGACTTTTGTTGTAGGCAAATAAGAAACTAATTTACATTTTGCTTTTTAATAAATTTAAATCAAATTCGACTAAAAATATTATAACAACCAGGTTTACATACTAGGACATGTAGCAAACACAAACTATAATGTGATGTCATAATTTGTTAAAGATCAATTTACGATTTAATAATATTTTGTTATTTATGTTAAAATAAACGAAAAATCCTGAAGACCGGGGCAAAGTGGCGTGCCCTTGAGAGAGTTGAACACGACCCAGCAGCCACTGCCGCAGGCTGCTGCTGATAATAATAATGTTAAAAACCAGATTGTAATAATATAACAAACAATAATCTCCTAGAAAAACAACCAATGGTTGCAAAAGTAATAAAAATATATCTCTTGAGCAGTTAGTGAGAGATTGCTACCTATGTGCAGCAAATAAACTATTTCTTCAAACAATTCAAAGACAAACTAATATTCATTATAAAACAAATTATTTAAATATAGCAATAACACCCAAAAATTCCAATTCAACACCCCAACAGTTTGTTTAACATTATCAAAACTTACTCGCGATAAAACACTTTTATCTCTCTTCCTGTCACATACGAAAACATTCTCAATTAACACAGCCAAAAGCCAAATTATAACTATCATTTCGCTAATTACACTAAGTGTCAGTTTCGTATCACAGATAAATTAAAAAGATAATTGAAAAATATTCGACTACATTTTATTATGAGACAAGCGCTCATTCGAGTAGCTCAGTATAAATGAGCACTGATTTACATAAAGGTAAGCGGATAAAAGCAGAAACGAGACGAATCTTAAACAATGCGTATGAAATAAAGATTATTCTTTTACGAACTAAATTATACAAGTTTAGAAGCCGATTGTAGTGAATTATGTTTTATACCGTGTAAACTGAAAAGGTCTTGGAGCACTATAACGCGAAATGATATTAAAGAAAGCGCCTTTAATTTTTACAATTAAATAAATAGGAATGGTAAAGTGATTCGTATTAACGTGATAGAGCCACGCGACAGCTACCTATATTAATTGGTCGGCTCGACCGGCAGCGTAAATGTAAATTTGCTATTTATTACTATTACTTCTTGTATATAATACTTTATATAATGAAATAAATAAATATTATGAAATAAATATTCTTTTGCAAATCATTGTGTTTTCGTTTTGTAAACATTTGATTTCGATATGCATCATAAACTTAAAAAATATGCTTTTACGAGTAAAAGTAAATTGAAATAAAACATTCAAGTAAGGAATAGAAATGTAATCCAAAGGTGTTGCTTTTTTTTGTGTTTCATAGTACGAAAGTTAACAATGTGCATGTGTGCATTTGTTTTAATATTAGTTTGCGTTTTAATTAGGTACTTACTTTTAAAAATTGTTTATAAATGAGTCGCACACTTGTTCTCGGTAACCATTATTAGATGTTAGCAATATTGAATTTAACGAAAATAGACTTTTACGAATGACTTTGACGAATATTGAGTCTGCTACAAAGCCTGATAGTCAAGATAAGACGAATAATAAGAAGGAAAGGCGGAAACGAAAATTTGAGGAGGATTTTCCATTTCGTCAAATTTCAATATGGAAACGTCAGGAGCCTATGAATATTAGTGAAAACCATCAGCTACAAATTGTAAATGACCAATGATAACAAACTTTATTCGCAGAAAGGCGAAGAATCATATCGATCTCCGTTAGTGAAGTCAATTGTGAAACCGCAAAACGTATCCAATGCTCCATCAATAAAATATTGATTGTAGCTAATAAACAAACAACATTGACTCAATTAACTCGGCAGGAAACATCTCAAATACTCGCTGCGGTCCATATATCATATATAAAACATAATACTTAGGAGCGAGTCCCGAAGGATTTTTTAAAAACAAAGGAGTAAAAATGGGACTTATAGAATTAAAATATCCATTTTTTGCAAAAAAATATGCATTCTGAAGAAGCTGTAAAAGCGAAGATAAATTTTTGAAAGAACAATGCAAAAATGAACACTTTTCCAACTGACAAAAACCACGATTATTATTTTCAAATTCACGGTCAATTACACCTTACGAAGTACGGAGTTACTGGATAGCTCAGTTAAATTGTTCCTAGCTTGAATGCTTCCTGAACAATTTGATTTTCACCTTGAACGCTCGATGCCAATCAAAGACCCTTCTACACATCATTTAAACCATTGAGAATAAAGTAAATAAAATAATCTAAATAAATTTGTCATGTCGGTCTATGCTACTGTACAAAAAAGTAATTTCTGCAGATAGTTAATTGCTATACAAAGTTACGTACATATTTAAACGAAAGACTGTGGTGTGAGTTGTGGTGCGGTGGTGTATTGCTGCTTGTAATACTTATACACAAAACTATTTTAGTATTAAAACCTTAATATATGATACGTTTTTGACGAATTTTTTGGGTCATCGACCTATAACGGAACTCTTTAGTCACGACTCATCCTCGCACTTGCCAGATATTTGAATCAATAATACAGGGTTCTTAATTCTCTTTTAACAACTTTTTCAACAAAACTACTTAAATTACACACACTTAAAATATTTTTTGATAAATATCATAAGTTTTGTAAAAAGGCATGGAACAAAAGTTATCACATATGAGGAAGGAAAGCTACATGAGAGAGGTTGTTAGCTACAGTCAACCAAATCTAAGAAATACCTTTTGATGTTTCACATTAATCATTCCGCAATAACTTTGCACACGCGTACTCACACGATTTAAAATAACCTTTTTCGTAAATCCGAAGAATTATGAAGTTATCTATATTTCATTACAACGTTTAAAATTTTTTTGTCACTAATTTAAATTTGAATTTTTCTTATATTTATCTATAAGATATTAACTTTTTTTACTTGACGTCTTTCAATGATAGAAACGTTGATTTGAGATTGATTGTTATGCGAATAATCGACGAAATATTCAAATAATCAGTAAAATGTACTAATAATCGAATCATTAATTTCTTTAATGTATTATTTGTTTAATTTAATTTTTATTTTGAAAATTTCTTAAATTACATGAGTCATGAATAAAACAAGTTCATTTTTTTACTTTCTCAAAGTAAATTTGTGTAGGCAAAAAACTCATATACAAGGCCGTGCTAAAATAACCACTACATAATTTCAATATCCCGCCATTTCGGTACCATTTAAACGACTCCACGGAATCAGTCATTTATTCTTGGGGCAATATATACGATTTTACAACAAAATCCCAGAAAATATACAAAATTTGACGTAAGTACACAAAGTTCAAAAACATCATAAACCAAGTTTGTGTAAAAAGGGTTACTTTAACATTAAAGAATTTATGGATGATAATAACCCCTGGGAAGGGTGATCGCTACCAAGCTATTTCCAATTTGTTTTGTGTTGTTAATTGTAACACGCATGATTGTAAGCATTTATTTTAAAAAAAACTAGTCCCGTTGGGTTTCTTACCGGTTATTCTCAGGACAGAGGTGTTTTTTGCGAACCAGTGGTAAATGAAAAAAGTGACTTTCAATGAGTATTATTCATAATCTATATTGAATAAAAAAGTTTACGCTTCTGTTTCGAGAGCTTACTGTGCGCAATTTTGTAATTTTGTGTTTGTCTTCTTATTTTGTGACTCGACTTTAACTATTTAGACTGTTTCTTCTACAATAACTTTTTTGTACGTGGTAGAGCCACACTACATATATATTATAGTTGTAGCACGAATGGATCGGCTCAAGCAGGGCAGGACCACGCTCTCACAGAATACCAGCGTAATGCTGCTGTGTTTCACATGGTGAGTGTAGAGAACCGGAGAACCTTTTTACTGAAATCGAGGCATTCCATCTTAGTTCTCAGAAATGACAACGCATTTGCATTTTGATTCTTAATTGAGGATAAATGTGTATGTATATGGGTCATAGCATCCAGTTACCATCAGGTGGACTGTGTGCTCGTTTGTCACCTAATGCTATAAAAAAATTATTTGTTGAAGCATGTGCCCATGTTACAAAGGATGGTTGGGCAAAAGTGGTAGAAAAAACAAAAAAAAATGATTATGGATGACTTTGAAAGAGACATTAATTTTGACCGCATTATTGAAAATTAAATATTAATTAATATAAACAACGACATCTTGTAGTTGTACTGAAAGTTATTGAATAAATTTATTTTTAATCTAGTTTCAATCTTAAATTTTTATAACTAGAAATAAGCAGTAACAATAAATACGAAGAAACTGATAAATCTTGTGTTTTAAATTATCCGTTTTTAATTTATTCTGGTATTATTCAAACCAAACTGTAAACGATTACCAACTCTAAATAATCCATATTGATTTTTTTTAAGAATCGAATATTGTACGTTCCCATTTTTTGGTTGGCATGCTTGGTGCAATAAGTCTGACAACAGTCAAAATGTATTTTTTAGATTTGGTTGACTATAATTAATAATTATTAACAATCCTGTATATTACAAAAATTGGAACGTGAAATTTTAGTAGATCAACTTTCCACGCTACGATAGAAAAGATGACCACGATTGCGGCACATGGGGTGCGTAGATGTGTCAACTAAACGCGATTATTTTGTTTTTCCCGGAAAGACTGGGCTATTAAGCTACTATTTCACGCTGGTATTCCGTAAGAGCGTGGTCCTTTCCCGGTTGAGCTGACCAATTCTTGCTACAACATTAATATAAATGGCCTCTACTACATAAATAAGAAAAATATTTTTATAATATATATCGAACTCCAGAGACCACAGACAATACGAAACTGAGGACTCCTTTTTCTATAGTCATTAGAAACGACATCATAAGCTGTTTTATTCCGTAAGTAAGTTATAAGTTATAAATGTAAACTACTTCTTTACATAGAGATGTGAGTAAATAACTTTTTTTTAATTTTTATTAAAATTGACTAAATTCTTTGTGAGATTAAGAGTTCTGGAAAGCTATTTTAAATTTATTTCCTAAATCAATTTATTTTATACTCGACGCTTAAGTTTTTACACCCAATTTTTTCAATTAAAATACTAAATTAATTTAATAAATTAAATCCATGTTTGTTTACATACACCAAAAACCAATAATTACATAAATATTATATAATAGGTAATATTGATAATATATATCCTTCGGAGCAATAATAAATTCATACCAGTAGCATGAATTTTAAATTAATATCATGAATGTATAATAATTATCTTATATTTAAAAAATAATTATCTTATATTATCTACATGAAAAGATAAGATAATTATTTGTAAATAATGATAAAACAAAAATATTATATAATGATAATGAGCAAGACATTATACATGAAGAAAGACTATTACAATGTATTCTGGTCGATTTCCAGCATTGCAACGGCAGTCAACGGACAGGGTTTTTATATAGTCAAATATTGATGGAAGCCATCGACTGCTGCAACCTGCTCGGTAACGCAATGTCTAAACGTTTTGCTGAGCAGCGCTGCCGGTCGCAGGCTCTATTCCAGCACGAAATATTTGTATGATTTATAAATATCTATTCCTAGTATATTAGCATAATACGAGTATTTATGTGAAACAAATCAACGATACAGAATAATCCTCTCTTGTAAGGTCTTCTTTTACAGTTTGCTGTTAGTACTGTTAGCAAAAAAGATTTTTCACCTTTATTCTGTCAATGTCACATGTCCTACTCTAACTTGATTTTATTGACGTAACATTGATCTGTAGATGGATAGGCTTGAATGCATCTATAGTGAAACGATGACAATCATAACATATCCATTGAGTTATTAAGGTGATTTTCATGGCGAAATTACCAAAATTAATATAAACAGCATTTTTGCTTTATGCGAGAAAACACAAAAAAAATCACCACCCAGAAATGAGAACTAGTTAGATTTTCACCTTGGTAAACCTCTGCATTGTAAAATTTATTAAATTCGTTAGAGCCATTTATGAGAACACAATTACAAACATCTTAATATATATAAATTACGTGTCACGTTGTTTGTCCGCGATGGACTCCTAAACTACTTAACCGATTTTAATCAAATTTGCACACCATGTGCAGTTTGGTCTAACTTGAGAGATAGGATAGTTTTTTGCCCATGAGTGACCCATAATATTTTTTTTACGAATTTAAGGATTTTTAATAGGACATGATAAAGGGTCGCCGAAAAGGGCAGAACAACGTCTGGCGTCTGGCCTGGCAAGCTAGTACAAATATATAAACATAACATTTGTAATAGTATATAATTCAAGACAAATGGATAATTGACCTTAATCAATCAAACTATGCCACAACTTTAACTAAAGAGCCGTGGTAGCTCAGATGGATAGTGCTCGCTGTGAATTTCATAGTACGCGAGCAAACCGGGTTCGATCCCCGCCGGCATCAATAAAATTGTTAATTGCAATTACAACGCTGCTGATTTACAACGTGCTCGGCGGTGAAGGAACACATCGTGAGGAAACCTGCATGTCTGAAAAATTAGAAATAATAATTTTCGAAGACATGTGAAGTTTGCCAACGCGCATTGGGGTAGATAATTGATGGATAATTCCTTACCCTAAAACCCTCTCAGAAATGAGCGGGAGGCCTGTGCCCAGAAGTGGGATGTATATAGGATATAACTTAATGAAAATATGCAGATCGTGCAATGACACGGGATATGCATTGCATGTTATGTTTGTTTCCAACAAAATATCATATTCAGCAATGGAATTCTAAAGGGCTATAATTATGTTGATGCTGAAATAATTTATAACAGGGTAAAGCGTAATTTGTGTCTCGAAACAATGTGTTGCAAGGATTCCTTTTCTGCCTAGATGCCCACCTGGTTAGGTACAACCCTCTTACCTATTTCTGCCGCCCAGCTGCAGTGTGAGCACCGCTGTGTGTCAGTGTAAAGGGTATAGAGAGCAAGCATAAATACAGGCTGTGAGGTATTCTATATTAAACCTCAGAGAATGACACCGCATGTATAACCTTTGTTTGAATTTGGTTGCAGGTGTTCACGGGCTGTAGCCACTTACCACCAGGTGAACAGATAGTTCGTTGACACGTTTTATTTAAAAAAAGAGATTAAATTCAAAGGAGGAAATACTCATGCTCATTCTTCTTTAGTCTCTTAAATTATCAGTGTTTGTTACCAATTTAATTTAAATAAAAGTTAGTTTAAGTGAAAAAGTTTAGTGAAGCGCTTCTTCATTAGCCTATTGCATCCATTAGTGCTATAGACTATATTATAGAGATTAAAAGAAGATATGTGGATTCAACGCATCTGCAACTGTGAGGCTCAACTTTCTACTAAGGACAATGCTAATAGAAAATTATAAAAGTGAATCATATGTCAAAAACCTTTGCCTGCCTTAATTGGCAAATCGTAAAATGTCATGCTACAATATCGGCACCGTATTGTTATATAAAAAAAACTTCTAGATACTGGCAGTGCGATGAGGTATGTCGTTGACGATATATCGTTATTGGTATTGGTCAGTCAGAAAACTCTCTTAACCTTGTACTTCCAAACTTTCTCAATTATATGCACATATTGCTACAGAGAAGCCATTCCCATTGATGCGTTGATGCACATGTGATTGTGTTCTGCAAAATGTCGTATTCTAATCAAAAGTATTTTGATATATTAATGTGTTTAGGTAGTACATACTATAAACTGATAATTGTAGCCTGGGGTCAACAGCTACTAGACAACAGCGGTCAATTTCATGACCTCTAGATATTGTTAGACGGCCGTGCATTTTATCATGTTAGATTTCCCCTTTAATTTTTCTTTTAGCGCGGAAACATTTAGTTCTCTGAAAATGATAACGTGAGCAGACGATACGTAAACGATACGATGACTTTACCTAAAAGCACTCTCAGGAATCTGACATAGCCGTTTTTAAATATTGTAGATTAGATCTACATTCCAGTAAAGTCAGTGAGTGTACCTTGTTGTTGGAGTTGAGCAGAGTAAGCACGTCGCCACGCTTCATGGAAACCTCTCGCGGGGACTTTTCTGCATAGTCGTACAGCGCCACCACACACTCCTTGCCCGATACATCCACCACCGGGGACTCTTGTTGCTGTACAAATTACATCCAACATAAAAATAACTCTTTTTCACCAGCAGTAGCAGTCCATTGCTGGATAGTAATTCTTGTTTATAAATTAATTGTCATCAGCTTTATGGTTAAAGGTATTGACTGCAAATATATTTAAAGCTTTGAATCTGCTCTAGCAATACTTTTAAAATATGGGCTGAAGTGTAGAATCCTTTTGTATCTTGTTAAAATGCGAAATGTTAGCAACCGTTTTAATTTTAAAAAAGTAGTTTTTTATTCAAAATTATTGCAAGAATACTTAATGTAAAATGTATGGAATATATAAAAAATATAAATCAATTTAATTTCTTGAGATCTGGTTGAAAGAATATGGGAGTTGTTTCATATTGTTCCCATATTGATAGTTAAAGTTTCTTTCATTTTATATCCACCAATTAAAAATACTTAGCAAAAACGGTCAATTAACTTAGTGATATGACGGCTCCGTGGCGCAGTGGCTTAGCAATGAGCGGCAGCGATGGGGGTCGCGGGTTCAAATCCGCACGGAACATGTATTTGTACGGCCTACAAATAATTTTTCCGGGTCTGGATGTTTGTCCTTGTGCAATTTATGTTTGTAAACTGCCTCCACGATACAGGAGAAAATCCTAGTGTGAGGGTAACGTTTTTAAAACAAAAAAAAAACATAGAAAAAAATAGATATTCAAATGGATGAATAATGGTGTGTCCTAAGCCTAGTTCGACTAATGTATTCTTAGCCTAAGCTTTTAAATATAGTTCTACTATGTTACCTTAGTAACAGAATCAATAATTCTGTCATTATAAAAATAAAAAAATATGAGCATTTTGTAATATTGTGTTTGTATTCAATAGATAACTTCATTATTACTAAATGTAGGTTGTATAATAAAATAGGTTGACTCACGCGGCAAGAATCAGCCTGCTCACGCAAAGCTTTAATTGTATTTCCGAACGCTTCGAGATCGGAAAGCAGCGCCTCGTGCTTCTTGAGCAGCGCCTCAGAGGAGTCCTCGTCCTTGCCGTAATCCTGTGTGTTTGCCATCGGTTCCTTCTCCCGCATCCAAGACTCCGCCTCGTTGGCGTCCGCGAAGTACTGCTGCGCTTGCAGGGAGTCCTCCAGATCTTGCTTGCGCTGTTACAAATTAATTCATAATTAGTTTCAGCAAATAATTTTTGCACAAATTTTAGTATTATTACTGTTGGCAATCCTAAGAAAAGAATGTCTACAAAGTTGAGTGTAAAATGCCTGTCTTTACTTTTGAATTGATATAGGCACACAACCTTTAGAGTTGAAGATAGTATTTGTTTTAGCACGTTTCATAAAGCGCTTTTTTTAATTGGCAAATATGTAACGATATGTCATGGCTCCCCGATATCAGAGCACTGAAATGTATGGAGCTACTTAATGATACTTTTTCATTGACTGAACGAGGCAGATGTCATGGCTGTCCAATATCGGAGCACTGAAATGTATGGAGCTACATAATGATACTTTTTCATTGACTGAACAAGGCAGATGTCATGGCTCTCCAATATCGGAGCACTGAAATGTATGGAGGTACATAATGATACTTTTTCATTGACTGAACGAGGCAGATGTCACTGCTCCCAATATCGGAGCACTGAAATGTATGGAGGTACATAATGATACTTTTTGATTGACTGAACGAGGCAGACGTCATGGCTCCCCAATATCGGAGCACTGAAATGTATGGAGCTACGTAATGATACTTTTTCATTGACTGAACGAGGCACATGTAATTGCGCCCCAATATCAGAGCACTGAAATGTATGGGAGCTACATAATGATACTATTTCATTGATTGAACGAGGCAGATGTCATGGCTCTCCAATATCGGAGCACTGAAATGTATGGAGCTACATAATGATACTATTTCATTGACTGAACGAGACAGATGTCTTTGCTTCCCAATATCGGAGCACTGAAATGTATGGAGCTACATAATGATACTTTTTCATTGACTGAACGAGGCAGATGTCTTTGCTTCCCAATATCGGAGCACTGAAATGTATGGAGCTACATAATGATACTTTTTCATTGACTGAACGAGGCAGATGTCTTTGCTTCCCAATATCGGAGCACTGAAATGTATGGAGCTACATTATGATACTTTTTCATTGACTGAACGAGGCAGATGTCTTTGCTTCCCAATATCGGAGCACTGAAATGTATGGAGCTACATAATGATACTATTTCATTGATTGAACGAGGCAGATGTCATGGCTCTCCAATATCGGAGCACTGAAATGTATGGAGCTACATAATGATACTTTTTCATTGACTGAACGAGGCAGAAGTCTTTGCTTCCCAATATCGGAGCACTGAAATGTATGGAGCTACATAATGATACTTTTTCATTGACTGAACGAGGCAGATGTCTTTGCTTCCCAATATCGGAGCACTGAAATGTATGGAGCTACATAATGATACTATTTCATTGATTGAACGAGGCAGATGTCATGGCTCTCCAATATCGGAGCACTGAAATGTATGGAGCTACATAATGATACTTTTTCATTGACTGAACGAGGCAGATGTCTTTGCTTCCCAATATCGGAGCACTGAAATGTATGGAGCTACATAATGATACTTTTTAATTGACTGAACGAGGCAGATGTCTTTGCTTCCCAATATCGGAGCACTGAAATGTATGGAGCTACATAATGATACTTTTTCATTGACTGAACGAGGCAGATGTCTTTGCTTCCCAATATCGGAGCACTGAAATGTATGGAGCTACATAATGATACTTTTTAATTGACTGACACGATGCAGATATATCGTCGACGACAGCATGAAGGTTAGAGAACAGGAGAACGATCACTACATACTAAAGCGTACGTCGGTGAGTAGTAACTGCGAAGTTAGCTGTTTATGAGTACAAGTAGGTGAAGTTAGTTGAATAATGTACAAATTTTCATTTAATTTTTTCGTAGAAAATTTTCATGCTCGGTAATTTTGTAATTTTTGACAAAAAGAAACATTAAAAAATGGAGAAATATTTTATTGTGCGTAGATGTTCAAGTGGTTGATCATCTGATCGAAAAATAGAGTGAAAATGACTTTTATTGACTGCACTTAGTGATCGCAGTGCCTCACTGATGGTGTCCATATTTCTGGGACACTATTTTCTACGGCGATCGTTCTCCCGTTCTCTAACCTTCATGGACGACAGTATGTCGTAGCCATGTCGGTACTACTACCGTCCTAGAAAAACATCCCAGTAAAATTAAAAATTCATTTTTCCAATAAATTTTTTTTGTCATTAATCTTTATTTCTTCGATTAAAAAGATTGATGACAAAATATCCTTCAATTTCGTATACGATTATTATTACCAGTTATTGAAAATTTTCAGACAAAAAAATGTAGTTGAAGCTCCTTTAACATGTTTTAGAATAAGTTATATTAAAGGAGCTTCAAATTTTACATGTGTTTGTACTGTTGGACATAACCATAGCTTTAAAACAAGTCTTCTTTTTCCACGACGTAGGCAAAGCAGTATAATAAAAATTGTTTTCTGTTAAATCTAACCTAGGCATGAAAGTTCTTTATTACTGTCATTCAATGAAAAAGCTTTTATTATTGGTGTCATTGTGGTATTTTGGTGACAGTATATCATTATTTGTATAAGCCAATAAGAAAACGCTCACGGTGCAATAATGGGTATGGGCCTGTGCGTGTGTGTGTGTATGCGTGTGTGCGTGCGTGTGTGTGGGCGCACACCTGCAGCGCCTTCTCCTGCAGCTGGGTCCAGTGCGCGTGCAGCTGGTGCAGGCGTGCGGCGATGTCGTCGGCGGCGAAGTGGCCGGCTGCCCGCAGCGCCGCGCCGGCCGCGCGCACCGCCTCCACGCGTGCCTCGTGCTGCGCCATCTCGCCCATCACCGCCTGGTGCTTCTTCATCAGGTTCTGTACGCCGATCAGGTCACGCCCTGCACCAACCAACAAATTTCTAATTTTATTTCATTATTCACTGCATTAGAACCTATCAAATATTTATTGCTGAATGTAGGCCTCATCCTAGAGTTGCCCTATAATGAAATGTTATAAGAACCTACAGAACTATTACATGTGCTGTTAAAGTGTGGAGCGCCTTGCCGCCTCGCATTCGAAGATCGCATGTGAGCATTAACGGTCTTTGAACACGCAATTACCCGCTGGTCTTTCGAACTTATTATCTATTGAATTGAATCATCCTATCCGGGGACCAGAGCTATTGTAAATATATTCTGCGATCACCACCTGGCATTTAGTGGCCCCCGAATATACCAGATTTTTCTAGTCACGTCTTTCCGTATCCACTATATTTTAATACAGAAGAAAACAGAATTTAAAAAAAGTAAACAATCAACTGACAAAGCTTTGTTTTTATCTTCGAAAAAATTATGTAAATTTTAATTTAACATAAAATTTTTAATCAAGGGAATAATCAATACAGAACAAACAATACAGAATTCAAGCATTTTGGTTTAATTCTCACCTCTGTTAGTAGAAGCGATAATTGGCTCCTTCTCGCGAATCCAGGCAGCTTCATCGTCCAAGTCACGGAACAGCTGCTGTGCTTGAAGTGAGTCCAAAAGTCGTCTCTTACGAATAGCCATTGGTTTATCTAGTGCTGCATAGCGAGCCACAAGTGCGTCCTGGAGACAAAACAGTATTTTTTTAATTTAGACATCCACGATAAATTATCTGCCTATTTCAAAATGTTAAGTTATCATTACAATAATTATAGTAAATAGGAGTGTGTCACTTTTTCTGCCTAGACCTAGGTAGCGCCTCTTACCTATTTTAGCCACCAAATAGCAATGCTTATGCTTCGCACACACCTAATAAGTCATCGGCCGAAATTTGCTCGGGCGATGACGGCCGAACACGGACAATCGAATCAAACACTTGTAAAACAAAGAGAGGGCACGGCACATAAACACGACCGTCATCGTCCGATAACTCACGAAAACGGTCGATCAACCATCGAGTCCGAACTGGGTTTTATCGCCCGACTGCCGACGTCTACAGTGCAAATTGAGTGTATTTATAGTTTAATTTAATCATTTTGTCTTTTTTTAATCCGTTGTTTCTGTCAGTGTTGTTATCTACCTAAACGACTACGGGTGTGAAAAAATTAGTTGCACATAAATATTTCAATAATCCACACAAGCCGATTGTGCCGACGATTACGTCGACAAATTAAATTGCGGTATGAATTTTCTAAAAGATATATTTCTTCGAATTTCTCCATTTTAAAAACGCATCTTCACTCTGTTAAGACACAGTCAACTACAGATCAATCGGTTCACCTACAAAAAAAGTTCTCAGGCAACACAAATTAAAACAAAATACAGGTCTATTGTGGAAGGAGTTCTACAAGCAAGTAGATGGTGTGGCGATGGGCTCACCTCTACGAGCAATTAACTCTATAGAGAAGTAATACATGCGAATTTAAAAGAAAACAATTTTGTCAACTAGTTGCGGCGCGGGGGGTTGTGATCGCTGCGAAGTACTCCGAACTACTCCGAAGAGTTTCCGAACACGATCGCTAGGGCGTGCATTGTAATGAATTTATGCTTTCTATCGATATTGATAAATTTTTTCGCTTTTTTAATACATACTTTCAGTATCAGTAACTAGCTTTTGACTGTGACTTCAATTTTCCTGTGCAACTAAGAAATGCAATTTTAAATGTACTAACTAATCAAGCAGTATACTCAGGTAAAATAATTTATATTTTATCAGCATCGAAAAAAATTCAAGATTAAATTAAAGGAGTTTAAAATAAACTTTTAGTGATTTGTTGAACTTTAACATAAAATTACTTTAACATAAAAAATTACAATATTTAATACGTGGTAGAGCCATGCTGCAGTTATATTAGTAGTATAGTTGTACCATGAATGGGTCGGCTCGACCGGGGAAGGACCACGCTCTCACGGAATACCAGCATAAAATAGTAACTTTATGCTGTGTTTCGTATGGTGAGACTAGAGAACCGGCGACCCTTTATAATGGAAACGAGGCATTCCATTCCCCGTGGGTGACAACGCATCTGCATTTTGATTCGTAATCGAGGATAGATGTAGATGTCTATGGGCCACAGCAACCACTTACCATCAGGTGGACTGTGAGCTCGTTTGTTACCCTATCCTATAAAAAAGGCCCCGTAGGAGATACGCAAGATAGTTCGGCTCAAGGTCGAGGCACTACGAGGCAGTACGGTGAGATTGAAAAGAGAATAAAAAAGATTTTCATGTTTATTTATTATATTTATTTTATTAAGTGCTATTATTGATTTTTAAAATGAATTAATTTTGTATATATTCTCCTAACTGCACATTTTCCTTCTAATTTTTGATTTTTAAGTATAAATGTCATTCTTGTCAATATATTTCTTCATTACACTTTTCGTTAAATCATAATACGATTGGTTTCTTCGGCATAAAATTGATGATGTATATAGTTCAGCGGTGATTTTTCCTTTAGAGGCACTGTTAATAAAATCTTTCTTGATTATGGACTCGCAACGCGGACATAATATTTTAACGACCATTTGTGAAGGATAAATTAACCCTCCATTATCTATGTAGAATATGAGACTCTTTTTATTTTATTGTAATGACACTAATGCCTTTATACAGGTATTGCATCTGAGGCAAAAACAGCGTAGGTACTGCACTTCTCATTAGTCGCCGCTTCTTGTTTGTCATCAAAAAACAATCCTCAGTAAAATGTTTTGAGCACATGACGCTATATATTGATGGAAACCAATTTTCTCTTTTTGTAACGTTTATCCATTTGTTTTTCATATTACCATCTTTTGGAAACCTATAGGGAAAAAATCATACAGTTTAAATAAAATAACATTGTTATCGTACTTATCCAAAGCTCATACTTACTTACTATACTATTATAAAGTAATACTAAGAGTAGTAAATAATAATGTACTACTCTTAGTAATACTTTAATATAAAAATATATATATATATATATATATATAATTAATAAATTATGTATCCGTCTATATCTAATATATCCAAAACAACGATATCTAAATACTATAATCATTTTGTGGATAATTATCGACAATACGAAATAAATATACCGCACTGCACTAGTCATTAGCGTCACGAGGCTAATTATGATAAGGAGAGACAGACATACATGTTTGCAGTAAATGCAAAAAGGACGGGGAGTGACGCATGGCGAATACGTCCAGTTTAACTTGACCCTTGTTGCGTAATAAAAATGTTGAAAATATTTTGATAAAATAAAGAAATATACTTACCGATGAAAAGTAATATTGTTTGTTGTTACACTACATGTTTTACTGTTGTTACCTGCTTACTTCTCCCATAAATCCAAGATTCTACAAGCGGTACGTAGACGACACTTTCACAATTCTACCTTTAGATAAAGTAACTGCATTTTTGACCATCTTAACTCTATAAATTCTAAAATTCAGTTCACAATGGAGTTAGAGGCAAACAATTCCTTAGCTTTTCCAGATGTGTTAGTAATTCGGAATCCTGATAACACCTCGAGCCATACTGTGTATAGAAAAAAGACCCATACAGATAGATATTTAAACGGTGATTCTCACCACCATCCTTCACAGTTAGCTACCGTGGGTAAATCTTTGTTTCAGAGAGCACGAGGAATCTGTGACAGTAAACACCTGGCTGCCGAGCTCCACCATGTCAAGCAAGTTTTGCATGACAACAAGCTTCGGGTCCCGCGCCTACGTCACAGTGAACGAGTGAAGCCGGCCACAGTCGAGCGTGTACCTGCTGTACTGCCATATGTTAGAGGAGTCACTGACAAGATTGGCTACATCTTGAAGCGCGCTTCCATCAAAACATACTTCAAGCCGCCAAAGAAGATTGGTCAGTTTTTACCATCAGTCAAGTGTAACGTCCCTCTGCAAGATGCAGGAGTGTACAAGCTTGATTGTGAAAGTGGTCTCTCCTACATAGGACAAACTAAAAAATCAATTAAAACCCGCGTTAAAGAACATATAGCTGATGTGAAGAATCGACGCTCCGGGAAGTCTGCAGTCTGTGAACACGTACAGGATCGCTCCCGTCACTACATCAGATTTGATAGACCACAAATCCTAGCTAAAGAACACCGATTCCTTCCAAGGATGATTCGCGAGGCTATTAAAGAGAAAAAACATCCTAATTTCAATAAAGATGGCTGGGTGCTACCATCTGCTTGGGATCCTATAATAAATAAAATTAAATCCCAACCGAAGCATACAACTGCAAGACTTCATGATACCATAAGTTCATACTGTGTAGATCGGAACAAAAGTTAAATTTTAATCTATGGTAACCGCGGTTAACTATGACATCTGGACGTTGAACCCGTGACCATGGGTGCTGTAAAGCTCTCGAAACGTCGGGTATTTAAAAAGTTAAATATACGCGATAAATTCCGTAAAAACTAGTATTATTTCAATGTGTAGTGTTCGCGTAAATATAAGAAATCATTAAATACAGTCGAATTGAGAATCTCCTCCTTTTTTGAAGCCGGTTGGAAAGGAGTGAAAATAAAGAAATTAGATATTATATATTAGATTAGATAATTGCAAGTTGTACATTGTATGTAGAAATGTATATAGTGGGGTACGCACTCGCTTGGCCTGGATGTTGGGCGCGTCGAAGTGGCCGCGCTCGATGAACTGCTGCGCCTGCGCGCGCAGCGCCTCGATGCGCTCGGCGTGCGAGCTCACGTCCGCCTCCAGCAGCGCGTGCTTCTTCTGCAGGTTCTGCACGCTCGTCAGGTCCTGCACCACACAACCCGTACTTTTTTATTTCACATTTTGTTTAGCTAAGACAGTGCGCTTTACCAGCTTTGGCTAGATCACCAGTCACCATCAAGTTGGGTAGTAATAAAGCACTGACATTAAATAAGTAAAATAATGCTAAGTAAGTAAATAAAACAGTGGAAACAATTAATTTAAAATTGTTCCCACTAATTTTATATTTACTAAGCCAAATTCAACAATCAAATTTCATACAATAGTGAAATTTATTTATTTGTATCAAATCTTTATTGCACTTAAAACTTACAATGGGCGGACTTAATGCCTTTAGGCATTCGCTACCAGTCAACCATGAGCTAAGCAATCAAACTTAAGCAGGTGCTATAAAGACAAGACAATAATATATATATATATATATATATATATATATATATATATATTATATATATAGAAATATGAAAAACAAGAGAAGTGGCAAGGGGGTGCGCGGATCAAAATGCTCAGCTTCTATACAAATGGCCGTCGAATGCGGTTCGCTGAAAAATTAGTGGTCCCAAAGCCAAAACAAAAACTTTGTTAATCATGGAATCAAATACCATACCTAAGTACAAGTATTTCATTATATTTATCTTTAAAATCATATTAAACAGCAAATAGTAAAATATTCCTTGATCCTACTACGTTATTTTTGTTTTAAAATATCACAGTCACTGTAATATTTTTGCAGGAAATACATTGCTCCATAACCACTACCTAACTATGACGCCAAGTGATGTAAATATCACAAAATGATTATTTATGCGGTTATATTACGTAGTACGGCCGCTGTATCTTGCGACGAGCTAGTAATGTGCTTGTGCAGATCCACTACCGACAATAATGTGGATTGGTGAATTGTTATTATAGTTTATTCTCCAATTTGTCAACCATTTCAACCCGATAGTAAGACCGATGTGACATAATGTTTTTACTTATTTTGATTATTTTACAGCAAGTACTACCCTGAATGCGTAACCAAACGGTCAAAAGTAAGTTGATTAAATTTTAGGTTAATAATCGATGGAGTGTCCTTAGGTTTGAATTATCGTATATTATGCCTTGTCTTCGAAAAATTTTCATAATTTTTATTATTTTGGGGTTTAATATAATTTACAGTTTTCAAAAGCTTCGAATATATCATAAATACCTAACCGGCATGGTTCGAATGGTATCATAATAGTGACTTTGGTTTAAAATTAGACAATATAATTATTCTTGCTATTTATTTGTTAAGCATGAGTGTGTATTTGTTTTCATATAGTTAACAATATTATCATTAACCAGGAGTTTTTATAACAAAAGCTTGTCAGGCAAAACCTGCTTAATACATGAGAGAACCTGCTTAATACATTTGGAGAAGTTTAGAAGTAACATAGTAAAAAAACTTCCATTACTTTCATACCAAAATAATCCAAATTTTTTGTATGCAACATTATTTAAGCTCATTTGCAATGAATTTAATAATACTTTTACTTCTAAAACATTCTCCTTGAATAATCGTAAAGCATTTAATGAATGGGCGACAGTAGGAATCCATAAGAGTAGACAAAGGTTATATGAACTTTACAATGAAAGGTCATATAATCCTAGCGTCGAATTTAGGGAATATGTAAAAAAATATTCCAAAATATTTAAAAGAGTGTGCTCCTTAGCCAAGTCATTGTATTTAAGCAACAAAATAAAGACTGCTTCTAATAAAATTAAAATGACATGGAGTATAATTAATAGTGAAACTGGTAAGGTCAACTCTCGCAATTCAAACTACCAGTTAAGTTTTAACAATAAATTAACTAAATCAGATCAGGACGTTGCAATGGTTTTTGAGAAATATTTTACTGATATTCCGATCTTAACCACTAAATCACTGAATTCTTCTCCTACCGTCGCCGAATCATTACTTAAACAAAATGTAAATGTGTGTACAAAGAATTTTACATTTCATAAAGTGTCATCAAAAGATATTGTAAAATATTTTAAGACTATTGATATTAAGAGAACCGCCGATCTGTGGGGGATTTCTGTTAAAGTTATTGCGTCTATAATAGATATAATCGCACATCAACTATCTATTATTTTTAATAGTAGTATCAAATCTGGTGTGTTTCCTGATTTAATGAAGCATAGTAAAGTAATACCTTTATTTAAATCTGGTAGTACATTGGACCCCGCTAATTTTAGACCTATTTCTGTACTGCCAACACTTAGTAAAATTTTTGAAAAAATTATTCTTGATCAATTGTTAATTTTTTTTAATGTAAATAAATTACTTCATAAAAATCAATTTGGTTTCACAAGGGGTCGCTCGACAACTGATGCTGGTGTTGAGCTGATTAAATATATATTTGATGCATGGGAGAATTCACAGGATGCTTTGGATGTGTTCTGTGACCTATCCAAAGCCTTCGATTGTGTTCACCATGAAACATTAATCAGGAAACTTCAACACTACGGTGTAAGAAATGATGCTCTTAAATTAATTATTTCATATTTAAGTGACAGAACACAAAAAGTTGTTATTAATAGTATGAGTTCTTCCGGGTCGATTGTACAAATGGGCGTGTCTCAGGGCTCAATTCTCGGCCCCTTTCTGTTTCTTGTATATATTAATGACTTACCTTACATAGTAGGGGATAACCACGATATAGTATTATTTGCTGATGATACTTCAATAATTTTCAAATTAAAACGACAGTTATTAAATTACGACGAAGTAAATAATGCTATAGCTAAGTTAGTCAATTGGTTTAATGTTAATAATTTGCATTTGAATGGAACTAAAACTAAATGTATGAATTTCGTAACTCCTAATGTTAAACATGTCAATACTAATGTAATTTTAAATGAGGAGGAACTGAGTCTTGTTGATACCACCATTTTTCTTGGAATCACACTGGACGCAAAGCTTCAATGGCTGCCCCATATATCAAAACTAGCTAGCAGACTTAGTTCTGCAGCATATGCTGTAAAAAAGATTAGAACTCTTACCAGTGTTGAAACAGCTAGAATAGTTAACTTTAGTTATTTCCATAGCATTATGTCGTATGGTATTTTGCTATGGGGACACGCGACTGACACTGAAATTATATTTACTTTACAGAATAGGGCCATTAGAGCAATATATAATTTAAAACCAAAAGAGTCACTGAGACAAAAATTTAAGGAAATTAATATATTAACTCTGGCCTCTCAATACATTTATGAAAATGTAATGTACGTACACAAAAATAAAAGTAGTTTTGCGAAAATAAGTGATATTCATTCTGTAAATACTAGGAGCAGACACAAGCTGGTAGTACCAGTTACTCGACTCCACCGAGTCAGTAATTCATTCTTGGGGCGATGTATACGCTTTTACAACAAAATCCCAGAAAATATACAAAATTTGTCATACACAAAGTTCAAAAATGTTATTAAACTAAGTTTGTATAAAAAGGGTTATTATAATATTAAGGAATTTATAGATGATAATAACCCCTGGGAAGGGTGATCGCTACCAAGCTATTTCTAATTTGTCTTGTGTTGTTGATTGTAAACATGATTGTAAGCTATTATTAAAAAAAAATAGTCCCGCTGGGTTTCTTGCTGGTTCTTCCCAGGACAGAGGTTTTTTTTTTGGGAACCAGTGGTAAATTAAAAAAGTGACTTTCAATAAGTATTTTTATAATCTACATTGAATAAAAAAGTTTCTATTTCTATTTCTATTTCATGGTGAGGTTTAGAAGTAGCTTAGGATATATGAAAATAATAAATAGGCTATTAATCGTACCTTTCAGCTTCCCAATTGATGCTAATTTAAAAAAGGAATGGATTGATGCCACTAGAAGACCACCTAACTGGTTCCCTACAAAAACTAGTACTAGTCGTCGTAATTTGTATGAGAATGAAAATTATCATAAAAACACCTTATCTCGTCAATGATAAATTAGCTATTAAAACTAAAAATGTCAAACAGGAACTCTTGGCAAAGGCATTGCCAAATTTGAATTTTTTTTAATGTTAAGTTTCACCAATTTGGGCAGTCCCCGATGAATAATCACATTATATTATTTATAAAAGCAGTCATGGAAAAATACATTAATTTATGATAAAGGAAAAAATAATTTAATTTTTTGTCAAATAGTGTAACTATTAATGCCACCCCAATCATATCAAAACGTCAAGTGCTGAACAAATACCTTCACTTTACAGGTCAGTGAGTAAACACCATAGCTTGGTTCCAAAATACCTACTACTTACTTCAATCCGCTATGATAGCCTAAACCAACATAACCGGATTTTTTTACTGTTTAAATTTTAAGTTTAGGTACTTAATAATTATATTTTACCTACATATTATTTATTTTTATTATAATTTTCCCTGGACATATTGTTTTTATTTATTTTATATTCGGGGCCCAAGAAAATTTTAGTAATAATATTATTTATAGTTTCTACATAGAAATAATTAAAAAAAAAGTATATTCACATTTTGTGTAACAATTTCTTAAAGAAGGTATTTCTATGAAAACAAAATCCGTGTAAATAAATATGTGACATGTGTGATGTGTGTATTCATTAAAAAGAAAACAATGTCTATATTTTTACTAATATAATCGAAACTGAATATTGAAAGACATTCTTATTATGTATATTACTTTATATATTGAAACTAAATTTAAAAAACAATCTACAAAATATTTAATACGTATGATTTTAGAAATTTTTACCTTGCCATAGTCTTCACTAAGCAGCTGTCCCTCAACTTCAGACAGCCACAGCTCAATATCTTCGCTCGCGCGGTTGAACTGCTGCTGAGCGGCCGCTTCCTGCAGCTTACTGCCCTTAAGGTCTGACGCCTGCACTAACTTTTCCCACATGCCCGAAAGTTCACCAAGCCGTGCTTCGATTTGAGCTAAAATTTTAACATTGTTTCGATTATATATCACAAATTTGAGTTATTAGTATTTTAAAAAGAAAAGATAATCAGTTTTTTATCATACAGATATTCCAGCATTACCAGCCAGTATTTATTTAAAATTCCAAAAAATTTGTGCTATGTTCTCACTTTTTATGGAACACCACTAATATTTATTATACAATCTTGTTTTTAGTAATGGTACCTATCTGTAATCTAGCAGGATAACAAATTTGGTAATCCTAATAAGAACTCACGCTTGGCGAAGTGTTCCTGCTCGAGGAGACGAGCTCCAGCGGCGGCGATCTCGTCGACGCGCGGCTTGTTGGCCTGCAGCTCCTGCTCGAAGTTCTGGTGCTTCTGCACCTTGCCGTTCAGGTTCGTCGGGTCCAGATACGAGTCGTCCGTCGCGAACTTCAGCTTCTCGTTGATCCATCCTGATACAAACAAACAAAATCAATTACGACTCTGTAACGCTGTCGAGTTAAGCCTTTTGCCGAGGGTGTGAGTGATGGTCACAAATAATTATAAATCTTTGTTCTTACCAATTACTGTCGGTAAATATTTAACATTACGATACGATAACACGTAACGACTTAAAAAACACGAAAAAGACGCGGTGGAGTTATCCATGACAACAAAAACAAAATTAAATTAATGATAAGTCTTAACATTGAGATATGTCATTCTATTTTTTAAAGTTTTAAAGCATTAAGGACTATAGAAATTCAATTGTTAATGTTAAAAAATGTTATTTATGCAGCATAAAACATTACTCTTTCTAATTACTAGTCTTCAGTCAGTAATGCTTAGCTTTTCTGCTTATAACGCTTAATAGTACATTATTAGCATATTAGATGATAAAATAACATTTGAAATCTCTATTTCTATCTATTAAAATATGTAAACTTTGTCACTATTTAATGATTTTCTTTAAGATCCTTACTATGAAAGTTTGGAGTTATGTACCTTCTTCAGAAACAGTATAAAGATGTTAAATGGTCACTGCTTACCCTTAGTTTCGTCACAATCTCGCTCGAATTGCTGATACTTGTAAGCGTCTTCTAAAAGCGCACGGCGTTGGTTCGACTTCTCTAGTAAAGCAGCTCTGCGTTCAAGTAACTGTATAAAACAAAGTTCTTTATTTTAATATTTTATAATATTACCGGTTAAATAATTGCAGTGAGGATGTTGACTACAACCACTAATTTTCATTTAAGAAATTAGTTTCAAACTAGTAAAATTATATTGGTAAATTATTTTCAGAGATAAATGCTCGATTCGTTAAAAATATTTTCCAATAATGAATACTTACCATCTCTCTCCTCTGCGCAACGTCGTCAGCAGCGTAATGTTGTCCGTCAATTAACTTAGATGCGAATTCGTCCAATGCCTTGATCTTCTCCTCTTGAGCTGCCAGGGACTTCTCAAAGTCTTCATGTTTCTTCAACAACGCTTCTACAGAATCAAGAGAGTCTCCTACGTCTTCATTGGCAAGGAATGCCTGTTAAAGTTAATGTATTTGTAAAATTAAATTGTTATTTAAGTACCAATATAAAACTTTAGTAATTCAAAATAATGAAGTAGAATAAAAAAGTCAAATTTATCTTTTACTTATTTCTACACTGTATTGTCCTTTACTAAGCAACATTCAACTTTAATAATTTTTTTTCTGATAAAGTAATTAAAAGTTTAGTCTTGGACTTCATCTATTTTACGGAGGAGATAACATATTTGCCAAACTTATTAAGTGAATTGGCATTTGTAACAGTACTAATGGGTTAGCTCGAACAAGGATTTTTTCAACCAATATGAAATAGCAGCATAATACTGCTGTTTTATGACGAGACTTGTAATGTTTCTGGATTTTGATTCCGAGATTGGGGATAGATGTAGGAGGTAACCATAGAATACTATAACACAATAGAATGGCTGTCAACCTTATTTTGTACGAGGATAGGCGTCGCCGGGAGCACACATACAAGCAATTACATAGTATTATCACTACTAACAACTCGATTCGCTGTGTTGACAGACCGATTTTAATACGTATTTATTTGTAAATAGCGTGCAATTTGGCATTTTATAAATAATTTGCATACGAAATTTGGAAACAATTGTAACGTCAAAATACATCTAATGTTGACATTCATGCGTGTGAATTGACGTGTTAGTGACATTTTAGTGGCTACACGGGCTCCGCCCACTTCCCCATTCTATTATTTATGCAATTATAGTATTCTATGAGGGTAATAGTATCTACTTACCATCAGTGTAGACAGTGTCTTTGTCACTCATACTTCTAAACTAAAAATATTAAATAGCTGCATACTTCAACCTACTTTAATCTGGCTCTGATGCTATGAGGAGCTTCCAACAGCTGTCAAATTCACCACTAATAATTTAGCATAGACTTAGGTGTATATGGATCACAGCATCCACTTAACATCAAATGAATCGTGCTCATTTGTATAGGTATACTTATATATTTCCAAAGTTATGAACTTAATTATATACATGTTAATGTGTTTCGAGCGTGTACTGAGCGGGTGAGTGTGTGTGTATCCAGTATGTGTAGGGATATTAAGCGGGTTAGTGTGAATATATCGATCGCGTCAGTGTAGGCGTACTTAATGCATCAGTGTAAGCCTTTTCAGCGCACCGGTATAAGTGTATTAAGCGCATCTGTGTGCGTGTATTGAACTAGTAAGTGTGTGTACTTGTATGGAGCGTATCAGAGTGCACATGTATTGAGGGCGTCAGAGTGCGCGTATCGATTGCGTCAATGTTAGTGTATGAAGCGTGTGGGTGTGCCCATCAATGTGCGTGTATCGAGCGTGTTAGTGCAGTCACCTCCTGCTTGTGCATCCAGGCGTCAGCCTGCTCGGTGTCGCGGTAGAAGAGCTGCAGGTCCATGCACTGCAGGTAGAGCACGCGGCGCTGCTCCCACAGGTCGCGCAGCGCGTCAGCGTCGCGGCGCAGCGCGTCCAGCGCCGCCTGCACGTCCGCGGCAGCGCGGTGCCCGCCTGCCGCCAGCGCCGCGCCCTGCGCCATGCACGACCGGATCGCGTCCTCGCGCGCCTCCATCTCGCCCTGCACGCACACATGCACACACGCGTCACGTCACTATTGTACGAAGTACAGCATGACGATATCGCATCACCCATAATGCTGCAGCGTGCCTCTACCACCATAAATATCCACTACTCCGTATCATCCCATGGAGACGACAGGAATAAAGTAAAACAGAGGATAGGCATAGGCAGAGGTAGCACCATCTTTCTGATGATAATAACTCAAAATGATAAAAAGTTGTCAACCCGCCTGCCAAGTGTGGCAACTATGGCTAAATTCCTGAGACAATCTATGGCAGAGGCCTATATTCAACAATGGACTTTTATAGGCTGTGATAAATATAAATAGATGGATATAATGATCAAATTTTTCATGCATTTTTGATGAGCGCACTATATTTCCACCTTCGTAATCCCCGACGAAAAACAGGGGTGCTATATGTTTAACTTGTGTATCTGTGGCATGGTAGCTCTCAAACAGATGAACCAATTTATGTAGTTTTCGTTTTGTTTAAAAAGTTTTTTGAGAGAGAAACTTTGATTCAAGAAAATCAGCTATTTTTGATTCAGGAGTCTTAAATTTTTTACATTTTAGTGATTATACATTAAAAAAAGATTTAAAGATTGCCAGAATAAATCCCCCGGGGCAGGGAGAAAAAAGCACCCCCCCCCCCCATAGTATTAGTGATTATACATATAATATTAACATATGAAATGTTAATATTTTTTTTTAAACAAAATGAATCATTGAAAACTAAAATGTGGCAACAACTAAACTACAATTAGTAAGCGACAGTAGCTTAATGGCAAGGCGCGGACCGCTAACTCAAAAAGGTCGTGGGTTCGAATCCACCATTCGACTACTGGCGTGAACTACTCGTAACACAAGCAATTTAAGCTTACCACGAGTGGTTAAAGGGAATATTAGTAATGTTTATAGCATTGTTAATATTCTTTTTTTTTAATATTTATAATTGTTAACTGTTATTGTCAATACAAGATTAATTTATCATAATAATAATAGCAATAACTTTCTTTACAATTTTGTTGGGAGCAGTGGATAGTACGTGTGTGGGAGAGGTACCTTGTGCTCCTGGTGCCGCTCCAGCAGCGCCTCTGCGCCGGGCACGTCTTTGGCGAGGTCGTCGGCGGCGATGAGCGCGCGCATGTCCGACACCCACGACACCAGGTCGCGGTAGTCCGCCAGGAACCGGTGCAGCGCGTACGACGACTCCAGCTCCGACCGACGCTCCTGTTGTGTCCCACATCCGCATTATGCAATATGTAATATGACACAAACGTTATTCTTGAAACTCAAGTAAACTTTCTAGTAAAGTACAAAATAAATCACTAACAGCTTTATTTTGATCTTTATTGTAATATCTAGTAGTCTATTCCAATAAGATTTTTTTAAGGCAAGGTAGGACAAAATAGCACATACGAGACGCAATTTTGACATTCGCGAATTAATAAATGAAATAGTTTAAGCCCAGATAAAATATGCGCATAGATGAAATACTCAATTTAATTCTTAATCAAATGGATCTTTAAAATACTTTACATTAATTGAGATAAAAAAATAATATAATCGCCTAGTAAAACTTAGACATTCGAGTTCTCGTTTGTTAAGCGATAACTATTTAACATTTTTCGAAATTATGAAATGCATGTTATTGATTAATATTCTTATTTGGCTATTATTTTAATTTAATCTTTTACCTTAACTTGGCCTTATACACGAGCTTCTGCCAGGCGTACGTAATTTCGTCACGCTTGGCGTGTATGGCGGGCGCGTGGACCGCGTGTAGCGTGTAGTGGTGTGTGTGCGGACGTACCTCGGCCTTTTGCACGAGCTTCTGCCAGGCGTGCGTGATCTCGTCGCACTAGGCGTGTATGGCGTACGAGTGATCCGAGTGTAGTGTGTAGTGTGGTGTGTGTGCGGACGTACCTCGGCCTTTCGAACGAGCTTCTGCCAGGCGTGTGTGATCTCGTCGCACTAGGCATGTATGGCGTGCGAGTGATCCGCGTGTAGTGTGCAGTGTGGTGTGTGTGTGAATGTACCTCGGCCTTCTGCACGAGCTTCTGCCAGGCGTGTGTGATCTCGTCGCACTAGGCATGTATGGCGTGCGAGTGATCCGCGTGTAGTGTGTAGTGTGGTGTGTGTGTGAATGTACCTCGGCCTTTTGCACGAGCTTCTGCCAGGCGTGCGTGATCTCGTCGCAAGGGCGTGCGAGTGATCCGCGTGTAGTGTGAAGTGTGGTGTGTGTGCGGACGTACCTCGGCCTTTTGCACGAGCTTATGCCAAGCGTGCGTGATCTCGTCGCACTAGGCGTGTATGGCGTGCGAGTGATCCGCATGTAGTGTGTAGTGTGGTATGTGTGCGGACGCACCTCGGCCTTTTGCACGAGCTTCTGCCAGGCGTGCGTGATCTCGTCGCACTAGGCGTGTACGGCGTGCGAGTGATCCGCGTGTAGTGTGTAGTGGTGTGTGTGCGGACGTACCTCGGCCTTTTGCACGAGCTTTCTGCCAGGCGTGCGTGATCTCGTCGCACTAGGCGTGTATGGCGTGCGAGTGATCCGCGTGTAGTGTGTAGTGTAGTATGTGTGCGGACGCACCTCGGCCTTTTGCACGAGCTTCTGCCAGGCGTGCGTGATCTCGTCGCACTAGGCGTGTATGGCGTGCGAATGATCCGCGTGTAGTGTGTAGTGTGGTGTGTATGCGGACGTACCTCGGCCTTTTGCACGAGTTTTCTGCCAGTCGTGCGTGATGTCGTCGCACTAGGCGTGTATAGCGTGCGAGTGATCCGCGTGTAGTGTGTAGTGTAGTGTGTGTGTGAACGTACCTCGGCCTTTTGCACGAGCTTTTGCCAGGCGTGCGTGATCTCGTCGCACTAGGCATGTATGGCGTGCGAGTGATCCGCGTGTAGTGTGAAGTGTGGTATGTGTGCGAACGTACCTCGGCCTTTCGCACGAGCTTCTGCCAGGCGTGCGTGATCTCGTCGCACTAGGCGTGTATGGCGTGCGAGTGATCCGCGTGTAGTGTGTAGTGTGGTATGTGTGTGAATGTACCTCGGCCTTTCGCACGAGCTTCTGCCAGGCGTGCGTGATCTCGTCGCACTAGGCGTGTATGGCGTGCGAGTGATCCGCGTGAGTATGTAGTGTGGTGTGTGTGTGAATGTACCTCGGCCTTTTGCACGAGCTTATGCCAGGCGTGCGTGATCTCGTCGCACTAGGCGTGTATGGCGTGCGAGTGATCCGTGTGTAGTGTGGTGTGTGTGTGAATGTACCTCAGCCTTTTGCACGAGCTTCTGCCAGGCGTGCGTGATCTCGTCGCACTAGGCGTGTATGGCGTTCGAGTGATCCGCGTGTAGTGTGTAGTGTGGCGTGTGTGCGGACGTACCTCGGCCTTTTGCACGAGCTACTGCCAGGCGTGTGTGATCTCGTCACGCTTGGCGTGTATAGCAGGCGCGTGGTCCACGTGTAGTGTGGTGTGTGTGCGGACATACCTTGGCCTTTTGCACGAGCTTCTGCCAGGCGTGCGTGATCTCGTCACGCTTGGCGTGTATGGCGGGCGCGTGGTCTGCGTGTATTGCGGCCAGGCGCGCCGCCTCGCCATCCAGCGTCGACACCTTGTCCTCCAGCGCCGCCAGGTCTCGCTCCACGCCCTCGTGCTTGCGCTGATCACAACACAAATATATTTCATATTTTTCAACGTGAATATATTTAAGTAAAATATAATGTCCTCCAGACCGAATTTCGGTCACGCTGGCAAGTCTCAACGGAGACTATCTGCGCAGGACAGGATTATAGTACCCGAGTGTATGCGCAAACACAGGTGCATTCTCCATTCACATATTCCGATACGACCGGAGAGAGATTGGCATCGACATCATCAACAGCTTCACGTGCTTTCCGAGGCAAGGAGTGCACCACCGCCAACTCCTGACTCCGGGCTGCTACTGAGCAGTACTTGACAGAAAAACCCAGTAACAGATTTACGCCCGACCTGGGAACGAAACCCGGGACCTCATGATCAGCAACCGTGTTTAAGACCACTAGACCAGTGAGGCAGTCAAAAAAGTAAAATGTTGTACATAACTAGAACAGACACCACGAACAAAATATGTGCGGCATTGCGGGGCGCAAAGAAGAAGAGACAGAGTACCTTTTTATGGCACAAAATAAGTTTGAGCTCATGGGTTTTAACGTGTACATAATACTTTAATGCGTGTATGTATACTTTAAAATATTTTTCACTACTTCAATGTAATTCAGAAAACTGACGACAACAAAATCGCGGAATACATTTAAATAAAACTAGTTTTGCGGAATTTATCGCGTATATTAACTTATTTTATATTCCCGACATTTCGAGCACTTCACAGCACCCGTGATCCCGTGGGGGACTGAGATGTTCGACGTCCCTAAGTCATAGTTAACCACGGCTCCCTTCAGATGAAAATTATTAATTATTAATTCGGAAAATACAGTGTTGCAGCTACATATCTGTGATCTACATTCAATATTTAAATACACTATTTACGGTTTAAGACATTTATTTCTCAAAAAGAATACAATTCACTTATCATGAGAAATAACAAGTTAATAATTAGATACTAAATACATAAACTTATGAAGAACGGCAGGTACTTGTAAATGATCTGTTAAGTAGTGGATAGGCACAATCTTGTTACTTGTTGTGGGTAATAAGAAAAGTATGTGTACAATTACATATAGTTATTGAAAGAAAGTCTATAGCAATTTACACATTGTTCATATTTGCAAGCAATTTAGATGGTATTTTTATGTTTTTGGTTATATTTTAAATAATTGGTAAAATCAAATTAATTAAAGAAATAACATTAGCTTTTTGAATAAGTTATTGGTATTTAAAATCGAGAAAAATCTTTTAAGATGTGGTGCTTTAATGTTTTTTTGTATAAAATAAAGGACTGGATCTCTTTTATGTTATTAGGCAATTTATTATATAACTCTGCTCCTTCGTATAATATATTTTTTCTTCCGTAGTTAGTTCAAGGTTGTCTTAGGCAAATGTTATTTTGTCGTCTAGTAATACGTTTTTGTATTAGCCCTTTCTTTGTAAACGTTATTTTAGAGTGTATATCTTTATTTAATAATTTATGTACTAATATACATGTATTATATTTATAATTCTGTGATAGTGTCATTAATTGAGTTTCTTTGTAAATTTTTTCGGTAGGAGTTAGATAGTGATAATGGAATAATAGTTTGATTATTTTGTTTTGACATGTTTCAATTTGCTTTAGATTTGTTTTAGCCGCAGTACCCCACAACTCTATTAGGTAGTCTAGATGGGGTTTTATCAAGGAGTTGTATATAATATATCTCACTGATTTTGGCGGACAGCGAATATTACCTCGAAGCGCACCCATGGTAGAAGATAGCTTAGATCTTAATTTATCTAGGTGCGTCTGCCACGTTAAGTGTTTATTTAGGTGGAGTCCAAGATACTTTTCTGTACTAACTTTGGTTAAGGGTTCATTATTTACGCGGAGAGTTAAGCGATTTTCGTTTTTTTTTTGTTTTTAGCACTGAAAAAAATGAAACTAGTTTTAGATGTGTTAACAGAAAGCAAATTTTCTTGGAACCATCTAGAGAGTGTATCCAAACCCTGCTGTGCATGTTTAATGATCTGCTCGATGTCCTTGCCAAATAAAAATAAACATGTATCGTCAGCATATAGTATTATATGACTTGACAAGTTAAGGTTATGCACATCGTTTACGTATATTATGAACAGCAAGGGACCGAGAATAGAGCCTTGTGGTACGCCGCAGGCTAAAGATTCGTGATTACTTTTGATATCACCGATCCTAGCAATTTGCCGTCTGTTAGAGAGATATGACCGAAACATGTCGTGGGCAGTATCCCGGATGCCGATATCATATAGTTTTCGGAGAAGCAGGCTATGGCTAATTGTATCAAATGCCTTTTTCAGATCGATAAATATACCGAGTGCTGCGCGTTTTTCATCAATATTGTTTTTCAACTTTGTCACAAGGTCAATTGTTGCAGTTAGTGTATTAGATTTTGAGCGGAAACCATATTGATTATTTGATAAGAAGTTAATAGTTTTAAGATAATTATCTAAGCATTTATATAATATTTTCTCGTAAATTTTAGAGATAATTGGGAGAACTGAGATAGGGCGATAATTGCCTGGGTCGGTCTTTTTTCCTGATTTAAAAATTGGACTCACTTTTGTTACTTTAAGAGGATCGGGGAAGAATCCGTTTTGTAAACAATGGTTGATATTCATTGTTAATTTGTGTAATATTAAATTTTTGATACATTTTATGGTTTTGCAACTAATTCCGTCTAAGCCCGTGCTAGTGTTTGGATTAAGTTTATCTATAATTTTACCTACTTCCTCTTTCCTAGTTGGAGTTAGATAGAGCAGTTCGTATGTACTAGAATTAGCTGTTTGAGAGCTAGGCTGTGTAAGTGGTTTTTCCTTAGGCATTTTAATTTTATTTGCTAAAATACAACCTATAGTAGCAAAGAAAGTATTGAAATAATTACATATTTCTTTAACATCTGTAATTGGACCCATTTATGTATCTAGTTTTAGAGGAGCAGAGCACGACTTTGTTTTGTTACCAGCTAAGTTACCGATCAGCTTCCACATCTTTAAAGGTTTTCTTTCACAGTTTTTTAGGCTTTGTAATAATAGTTATTTTTAGTACTCTGAATTTGCTCAGTCACGGTATTTCGTAGGGCAATAAAGTCTTTTCTTATTGATTCGTCGTTGGGATGTTTTTTTTTTTTTTGTAAATGGACCACAGCTGATTTCTTTTGGTTATCATTTTAATTACGTCTTTATTAATCCAGTCTGATTTAAATGCATTTTGAATTTTGAATTTCGGTATTCTATGTTTATTTACTGCTTCTTTTATTATATGTTCTAGGCTATTGTAGTCATTATCGGATATATTCATTATTGTATTTTCTACTTTAGAGTATATAGTTGTGTAATCTAAGGTATGATACTTTACTCTCTTTTTCGTTTTCGGTTTATAATCGCCAATTTCTAAATATATTTACTTGTGGTCTGACATTGGCGATTCTACTATAGTCATATGGAATTTATGATTTTTCAAATTGGATGAGACATGGTCAAGAATTGATTTTTTTGTCGGTGTATCACGGGTACTAAATTTTGCATCAATTTTGTTTAGGATTGTGTGTCCATTTTCTAACAGTAATTGATTGGTTAGGATTGAGCAGATCGTAGTTAAAATCGCCAAACACTAAAGCTTTTTGCCTCCTTATCATCTGCTGTGAGTATTCCTCCAAAAACCCATTGTTATTTGATTTTAGAGTTTTATATATAGCTCCAATGTCCAACGAGTATTTATCTAAATAAACCCATTAGTAGTGATTATCCTCTCTACAAAGATCTTCTATGTAATCGTGTTTTAAGCAGTCATGGACAAATATGGATACTCCACCTCCTCTGGCATTTTCTGTTATAATAATGGGTGTACTTTGGTAATTTTAAACTTTTGGCTTCAGATTCTGACTTGATCCAGGTTTCTGATAGTATAATTACATGCACAAGACTGTTTATGTCATATTGAATGCAGTTTAATTCATCGAGTTTTCCTGGCTTCACTATACTTCGTGAATTAGCGTACAGAAATTTTAAGGATTTAGTGTTTTCTATTAGGTCAGTGTATGAATCAGTTTCTTCATGAGTAGTGTTTGGCGATGTGTCGTCTGTATTTTCCATTGTTAGTTTTTTGGCTGGATTTTAGTAATTTTAGGTGTACCTTTGACATATTTTATAGTAAGGTTTTTTCACCTCCATCTAGTCGCCGTTTCAGTTCGTCTCTCAAATTACTTCGATACTTTTGTTGATAGGGTGTCTCATCAGAGTAGATTTTAATACATAAATACATAATACATAAACACTCACGCCTGTCACCCAGAGGGGTAGGCAGAGACTACGGACTTCCATTTGGCACGATCCTGACATACCTCTTTCGCCTCCTTTACAGTATGTAGTATATGAGTTCAGTGTTTGCCATAACACATTCCTGTTCACTCTGTCATAAGCCTTTTCCAAGTCCATGAACGCACAAAAAACTTTCTGGTTTTTGGCCAAAAACTTCTCCGCAATCATGCGCATGGAAAAGACTTGATCTGTACACGCCTTTCCCTTTCTAAAACCCGCTTGCACATCCCAAATTTTTCCATCAGTTTCTTTCATAACTCTTTCAATTAACACCTTAGCATACAGTTTACCCACAATACTAAGCAAGCTGATACCACGGTAGTTTTTGCAGTCCTGCTGTGACCCTTTTCCTTTATAAATTGGTACTATAACTGCTTTACACCAGTCATCCGGTACCCGTTTTAATTCCCAACATAAATTAAACAAGGTGTACAGCAGGCCTGCCACCACTCCCTCTCCAGCCCTTAGCATCTCGAGTGATACTCTATCATATCCAGCTGCCTTACCTGCTTTTCATTGCTTTCATTATTTCATCTACACTTATCTCCATACCCCTTTTCACTTCTTTCGGAATTTCTAGTTCATTAAATTCAGACGACTCTTCACTCATAAACATGTTTTCAAAGTATTCCTTCCATCTGTTTAAATTCGAAGCTTCATCATTCAGAATACATCTATTCTCGTCTCTATAGCATTAATTATAGGCTGTTTTGTATTTCCCCTGGCAGTTCCTACGAGTTTCCAGAACATTTTTATGTTAGCCTGGAAATTGTCAGATATCCTTCAATCATTCTTATCCGTTCTTTCTTTCTTTTTCCTTTCAACAACTTCTTTTACTCTCTTATTTAGACGTCTAAATTCTGCCTTTTTTCTTTCAATCTCATCATCCATACCAGAAGAATTACCAGCTTTGGTTGCTAGTAAATCTAACCATGCTTTCTTCTTTGATTCAACTTCCACCCGTACCTCATCATCCCACCACAGCGTATTGCTTTTCCTTTCATTTGTTCTCTTACTTACACCACATACTTCAGTGGCAGCATCCACCAAACCTTTCTTAATATTGTCCCACACAGTATTCAAGTCTAAATCATTCATACACACACTCTCCCCAGTCTACAACTCTCTTCACTCCCCTCTCTTTCCATCTCTACAACCTTCCATACATGTGAATCTTCTTATGACGAAAAAAAGTATTCGTCACAAAAAGATTCTTTTCCAGACATACGGTGAGGAGGTCTTCACCATTCTCATTTATAATTTCATCACCAAACGTTCCCAATATCCTTTCATAACCAGACCTCTTCACCCCAACCCTTCCATTAAAGTCTCCTAACATAATAATATTTTCATTTTCCTTACATTTTGTCAACACCATCCTTACCATGTCCCAAAACTGCTCTCGGATGTAAGGCTTAACATGTCTGTCGTACAAACCCCTAGCAGAAACAGCTTCTTTAAGCCCACTTTAATTCGTATCCATAGCAGCCTCGGGCTTACACATTCATACTCTTTCACACATTGACCCATTCTTTCTGAAAGGATGAAACCGACACCCTGGCAAGCCCGTTCGGTCTCGTCTACGCCAGACCAATACGCGGTATACGCGCCATGTGCAGTGGCATCCTTTCCCTTTCGTTTCGTCTCATTCACACATAACACATCAATTCCTCTGTCATCCATCATTTCACATACTTCATCCATCTTATCATTCATTCCTCCACATACATTCAGCGTAGCCAGACGGGTTTACGCAATCCACTTTTCGCCCTTCCGGGAGACAGAACGTGACGGGTGGCGAACCTCGTCGCCGGTTTTTCTCCCGGAGATATTGATAGATTTTAATATTGTCAAATTTTATGTTGGACCTTTTGCGTAGAATTGATTTTGATTCTTCGGATGTCGAGAATATAACCTTTATAGGTCTGGATTTATTGGGATTATATTTACCTAAACGGATAGTTTTCGTCGGTTCTATGCAATCTGGAACAGCCATTTTTATTGTTTTCTTTACTTCTTCGCTATCGTGGATGTTTCTCTCTTCGGAGTTTGAGGATCGACTCTTCTATCCCTCATATGATAACATTTTTCTCCCTCTGAGATCGTTCGTAGGTCTCCGATATTAAATCTTCATAGCTAAACGAAGGCGCAGGTATCGCAGAAGTCGATCCATATTTTAGTGATGCTATTTCATTTTCGATAGTCTCCACTTTTTCTTAATGTTAGCTCTGAAACCTGAGATGCAAGCTAACTCCGATTTTATTTTGACCTGTTCTGAGGACAAAAGATCAGTTGTTATCTTGATCAAGCTGATCTCTTCCTTTATTGCTGAGACATCTTGAGCAATTCTGTGAAGATTTTCAGTTTGGGTTTTAGCCATATCCTTTATAAGCGACTTGATTTTAGCTTGAAATTTATCAAATTGTACACTAAAGTCATCATGCGGCTGTTTTCTTTTGGCGTGAAGTTATTTGATTGGTGTTATCAGACAGGGTAATCTTTCGCAAATCTGATTGTGAACCACTAGTCTTTTCAAGTTTATTAACACTACTTGTGGTTGCTATCGAATCTCTATTGCCTTCGTTATACATGTTAGGCGACTGCAGTGGCGATCGAACGACACTCATCGTGTGTTATTGTTTAAAATATATATATATATATATATATATATATATATATATATATATATATATTTACTAGATATCTCGCTCGCGCAGAATCACGATGAATGCGAGCTGGATATTAGTAGCCCTTCTCTTTTCCTCAAGGAGAGGAGTAGCAGTTGACGCTTGCCGCTCACTTAAGTATGTTGACATATATCAATAACGACCTAGGTTGCGTAAATGAGTTATTACTAAATAAGAACTTGTGTAAAGAGCACTTGGTTACACTTTTCTTTAAATCTCTATTATTACTTTTATAAAATTATCGTCGACACGTCCGTACGTAAGCTTCCTAAGTACGTTCTCCTGATTTGATAGCTAAAAGGAACAAATAGTTCATTACGTTGAATGAGGACTGTGAATCATTGCGCGCGGCGGAGGGGGGAGCGCCACTATTTTGAAGTCATTTTGTTATGTACAAGTATTTATGTGAAACATACGGCCGTGTCCACGACACACCTAATTTTTATTTTTTATTCACTACAAGCCAGTAACACAGTGCCACTGTAAGAATATCTATTACCCATGACGTTCCGTGGGGGTTGTAAAAGGCGACAAAGGGAAACAAACCAGGAATGGGCAGCAGCATCTTTCGAATAGCCTCTTAAAAATAAAACTACTGTGACAACCGGCCTGCCAAGCATGGGAACTATGGCATATCAGCTGTATGAGGCAATCTATAGGGAGACCTATGTTCCAGTGCTTTTCTAGTAAACCCCTATGTGAAAATTAATATCTTATATTGTATGCGTAACTCTTTTATAATTTCTTTGTAAACAAGATTTTAATTAGGATCCTAAACTCGAGTACCGTAACCAAACCCCGTTGTCGCACGACTTGTACCAAACCTATGATAGGATATGATCTCACATAATTATATATGACTAACGATGCACCCCGGCTTTGCATCGGTGATTTCTAGATCTCGATAACAGCGCTACCTACTGGGTCCAATTGAGTTTTTAAATAATCCAAGGACTCTTTTAAAATCGGTCGAGTCATTTTCGAGTTTTAGCGAGACTAACGGACAATAATTGATTTTTATACACAGAGATAATATTGATAACGATATGAAAACATAACTATCGTTTATAGTTTTTTTCTTTATTTAAAAAAAATATCCTAAAAAGCTATGTCCGCTTTATTGTATGTGTAATCATGAGTATTTACAAAGAGGAATCATTGTCTTAGTAATATGGAAACTAATGACTTTGCCACTCACTCTCCCTGCAAGTACACTTTAAAACCACCCTATTTCATAATATATGTTTAATTAGCTATATTTTCGAGAGTAACACAAACCTGCAGCGTCTGCACAGTAGCAAGATCACGTCCGTAATCGTCGGAGCCGAGCACAACGTCCTTCTCGGAAATCCAGGCGATGGTCTCGTCTGCATCACGGTTGAAGCGTTGGATCTCGTGTGCGCCGAATAAACGCTCTTGACGCATCAGCGCCATCTGGCGGAGACGCTGCCACGCCTCATTCAACTCCTGTATAATAAATAAAGATTCAAGAAGCAAATATTTCATTGAATTTCAGCACGAAATAGGCTTTGATTTAAATAAGTTTTCGCTTCAAAGCACGCACCCTATTATTTGATATTTTAGAATTAAATAATTTACATAAATGAAACAACATAACAATTCTTTAAGAATATAATATGAAAATATGCTGTGCCATAAATGAATTGATTAGAAATCTATGCACTTACATCCTTACGCTTAACGATAGTCTCTCTTTCAGGGTGTCCCTCGAGCACGAGTCTTTCGGCCAGCTGGTTGACTTCGGTTACACGGTATTCTTGTGCGGCCATATCCTTTTGAAATTCATCAAATTTGCGTTGTAGCACCTCAACATGCTCCAGGTCGGAACCGAACTCCTCCGCGCACACAAAAGTTTCCTTCAACAAGCACATGTCATTTTAAACCAATAATAATAACCTACAAATTAAACCAATATTAAAAATACAGACTACAAACCAATAATAAAAGATACAAACCTTATCGTGGATCCAAAACATTACTTCATCGCAATGGCGTAGGAACTGTACCAGCACCAACGCCTGCTGCAACTTCATGCCCTTTTCCGCAAGCCGAGACAACAAAAGCTCCCACAAGCGATGCAACTCGTCCAAACGACGACGGATGGTCTCAGATGCAAAGTGGCCTGCAGAGATCATCTCACTGCCAGTGTTGTCCAAGACCACAATAGCATTTGAATGCGCCGCAACTTCTGCTTCGAAAGCCTGGTGCTTTTGGATCTTGGCCTATAAGAATTTAATTTGATTAAAGTAAACACTTGTATAATGTAGATAATTCCCATACATTGCACTTAATTGATATTTTTATGTTGGAAATTAATTTTGATTTGTTAATAGTTCATAATATTCAATAACAAATACAAATAATTGACTTAAACAACCCAGTTATAAAATTGTACAGGCAGATGACAGCTTCCTAATATTAACTAGTTAAAGTATCATTTGTACAGTTTCAATTCTATTCACACAATTAAAAAAAAAAACAAGAGATATCCATTTATACATTTTTAATTATTGCTTTTTCTAATACAACTTAGATTTTCTTTTCCTTAGACAAAATTTATTTTCTATTATTTTTTATATTTAGCATGTATATTGTGCAACTCTTACCTGCAGGTTAGTTGGATCTTTGTAGCTCTCATCGCTGGCAGCCTGCAACTTTTCCTGTATCCAGGACTCAAGTTCATCAGCATCACGTTTGAAGTATTGGAAGCGCCGAGAGTCCTCCAACTTCTCACGCTTTGCACGTGCCTCTTGCTTGAAGTCTTCATAGCGGTTTAATACCTGGTGTAAATAAAATAGAATATTGTTTTACATACACTGCGAACCGTAACAGGAAATTTAAAGTAGGTCAGAGAACTGTAGGGTGGGCTTTTTCGGAACCCCTGCCTGATAATATCTAAAACAAAGCTGAAGAAGCAACTGACGAGACGTATGTATAGTGTACTGAAAAAATGTGCAGAAATTATATGGATGGGAATTTTGTGACAGGCTTTGACAGACTTATAATGAGCGGTTGAACTGTGATGAGCTACAATGACAACAATAACATTATACTGTTGCAAAAAACATATTGAGTATGAAAAATAAGAATTTAAACTTTTATAATATACATATAATAGAGATTACAATATTATAGTATGCCGGAAGAATCATTTGTAACACAAACTAGGTATTGCTAACACTACAATACTCAACAATATAGATAAATAGTGTAATGGTGAGGTACAGAATGTCTTAGATTGAATGTTTTATTTATTTATTAGGTTTGTAAAATGTATTTTGCAATGTATAATAATAAATGATTCAGTTTTACGCGTATATTAAATTAAAGTAATGTTACGAGCTTGAGGTTCGTGACAATAAAAATTGCCGATAAAATTACCTAAATTAACACTTTAATTTACTTTACACAAATTAAAACTTAAAACACTAATAATTAAACACACTAATTCACTTTATTCCGCTCCGAAGCTTCGCTTGTGTCACCAATTCCAATACTGCCCCGATCGCATCTTGCAGCGCCTATATATACAAATTAGCAATGAAGCATCCGGAATATTCAAGTAAATGCGCGCAAAGCGACGAGTGTTCGAGTGTAGATTTTCTAGAAACTTAGTTCGTCGGATGGCGCTGTCGGTGTGATGATTTGTGATGTCATTTTCTGCAAAGCTCCCCTCGCTCTCGTTCCTGACACTAGATGGCGCTAGTGTATCGTCGACTTGAGCGCGTAACACTGCCCCCTCCTAAGACATGCTCGTCCCGAGCATTATCGGCCCCATAATAACGCGCCAAGCGATCCACATGGACGATCTTAGGAGTCCCCTTTGCGCCATTCTGTAACGGCTCCGCAATGTCAAGGGATGTCCTATCCCGTGGTGCACCAACATTGTACAATTTCGATGCTCCTCTACTCCGTGTCTGAGGTCCCCTCACAGCCGCACAACTTGTACATGTACGACACCAATCCTCGACATCGTCACGATAATGGACCCAGTAAAACTGTTCTCGGACCTTCAGTAGAGTTCATTTAACTCCCAGATGGACTCTTGAACGACCATTATGGCACAGCTGTAGAACATTCGGCACTTTAGCTTTAGGGACAACCATTTGCAGACGACAGCTGTCTCCTCGACCATTGTCCCATTTACGGCACAGGACTCCCTCCTGAAGCAGCAAGCTATCCCATTGGGCCCAATAGCTTTTCGTGGTTGAACTCATCGCTGAGACGTCCCTCCACTTAGGCTTGGTAGCACGGGCCTTCATCCATCCTAGAATCGGCTTGATGTCCGGATCTTCCTGCTGTGCATGTCGTAGGCTGTCCTTCCACCCGTTGCTGGGGTGGTCTGTCCTGAGCATCCTCACAGATACCACTTCCTTACTCTCTTGCCTACTACAATGGTTGCAATCTTCAGGAAAAGGTCTTCTTGACAATGAATCTGCGTTGCCGTGAGATTTCCCGCTGCAGTGTCTGATAGTAAAGTCGTATTCCTGCTGCTGCTGGGCGGTGCTGTTAGCCGCACTTCCTTTCTGAGACCGTTCACCTTCCCTTCCTAGGGTGTGCTTAGGGCAGCTGGACCGAAGATGGCCCCTTTCCCCACAGCCATAGCACCTAGGGCTGTATCCTTTATTGTGGTCGCGAACCGTAACTGCTGCAACCTCCCTAGCGCGAGGTGAACGATGATCCTGTCGCCGCCAGGCAGTGCCGTTAGCTGCACTACCCTCCTGATATCGTTCACTTTCCCTTTCTAGGGTTCGCTTAGGGCAGCTGGATCGAAGATGCAGCTGCCCTAAGCGAACCCTCCGACCCTCCCGAAGCATCCGGAATATTCAAGTAAATGCGCGCAAAGCGACGAGTGTTCGAGTGTAGATTTTCTAGAAACTTAGTTCGTTGGATGGCGCTGTCGGTGTGATGATTTGTGATGTCATTTTCTGCAAAGCTCCCCTCGCTCTCGTTCCTGACACTAGATGGCGCTAGTGTATCGTCGACTTGAGCGCGTAACAGTAACATTGATGTGACTTCTTTTGTTGCAGATTAGATGATAAATAACTTAAGTTGGGGTTTTAAAATCATAAACGTAACACAAATGAACTTTTAAATACAGTTGTGTGAACAAAATTGACTATTATGCTATACGTAAATGAACAATGCATTCCTTGGGGGAGGTGTGGACTTGTGAGGAGTTGTAATGATGATGATAATGAAACGAACTATGCATCATTAGCATTAGTAGTCCATGATTTAACTAGGATCACTCGTGTTCGATTGTAATGTAATACTTCATAGTGAACTTTGTTATTGATGACGAGCCTAAAATAATTTGTCGCGTGCCATCGATGGCACGTATGCCAATGGTTCGACATCACTGGTCTAGGCTATAGTAGCCGAGCCGAGATATGTCAAGTGTGGACATACAACGAGCCTACAACAATCACCTCCTCATGTTTTTTTTTGCGTTTTTCTGCGGTGTGCTCGCGACTCGTGGTGGATATGGACGAGTCCTGGGATATACAAGACCATGCATGAGTTTTTTATAGTAATCCTTATATTTTGGTTCCCATATTGTTAGACTATTTTAATATAATTCAATTAGTTGCAATCAATTATCTTCTGTCCATGTTTCCATGATACTCGAGCAAAACGTCTGTCACTCAACACGTCTGAGCACACTGCGAGCGCGATGCAAATCCCTGTGTTCATTAAAAAAACAAATACAGGCTGAGCACAGTCGAGCACGAGTCCAAAGCCTCTACTAACTCGGTCCACACTACATGAATTTGTGCTTGGCTCCTCTAGCTTAAATCCACCTTATGGTAAGAAGCAGAGTGCATATAAGCTAACAGATATTGTTCAAACTTTACCTGTTCACGACGTTCCTGTATGTCTTCGGCTGTTTCTAAGATCTTCACCTCTTTCGGAGGAGGAATCTGCTCCATTGTCAATAGGTCTCAATTAACTGTAAAAAATAATAGCATATTATTATCTTATAAAATTGAACTTATTGTAGTAAAATAACATAATAAGATACATTTTCAAAGTACACAGAGTGCACCAGTGTTCTAAAAAAATACATTATTTATTTAATGATTTCTTAAATTTACGCGAACACTACACATTGAATAAATTATTTCACGGATATTTTCGCGTTTAGCAAATTACTTTAATTTATTTTTATTATTATCCCGACGTTTCGGGTGCTTTACAGCGCCCATGGTCACGGGGGGACTGAGATGTTTGACGTCCCAATGTCATAGTTAGTCCGGCTACCTTCAGTTTTTTAATATTAATTTTTGGTCCGATTTACGCAAAACGAGCTTATAGTATCATGAAGTCTTGCAGTGGTATGCTTGGGTTTGGGTTTAATTTTGTTAATTATAGGATCCCAAGCAGATGGTAGCACCCAACCATCTTCTCTATTGAAATTTGGATGTTTTTTAATTTCAATAGCCTCGCGTATCATCCTTGGTAGGAATCGGTGTTCTTTTGTTTGTGGTTGAACTTGACTTGAACATGTTCACAGACTGCAGACTTCCGAACAGTCTGCAGTCTGCGAACATGTTCAAGATCGTCCCCACCATTACATTAGATTTGATAAACCACAAATTCTCGCAAAAGAACACCGATTCCTACCAAGGATGATACGCGAGGCTATTGAAATTAAAAAAACATCCAAATTTCAATAGAGAAGATGGTTGGGTGCTACCATCTGCTTGGGATCCTATAATTAACAAAATTAAACCCAAACCCAAGCATACCACTGCAAGACTTCATGATACTATAAGCTCGTTTTGCGTAAATCAGACCAAAAATTAATATTAAAAAACTGAAGGTAGCCGGACTAACTATGACATTGGGACGTCAAACATCTCAGTCCCCCCGCGTGACCATGGGCGCTGTAAAGCACCCGAAACGTCGGGATAATAATAAAAATAAATTAAAGTAATTAAACGCGAAAAAATCCGTAAATAATAGTTTTATTCAACATTATTTATTATTTTGGGAAATAAATATATCCACCTAAAAAAATTACGCAAATTTAAATAATTATTTCAATATAATAGAGTTTAGCAAAATTACATTTAAAAGCTATCCTTTGTATGTTTAAATGGCTTCTACTTTCATTAGTGATACGTAATTAGCTAAAGGTCAGGCTACACTTGACATCACAGCTTGTATATCTACTATATACATGATTACATCACACAACCTTGTGAGTCACCACATTAGTTAATGTGCATAACTGATTTTGATAAGGATGTGCTAGGGAAGTAGAGTAGGTAATATAAAAATAAAGTAAAACTTGTAACAGCAAACTATTTTTTAGTGGTTTTTTTTGCCAAGGCAATTTATTTTTTCTAAAGGGTTCCCCTTTAAACTACACAATATTTATGAAAATAAAAATTTAGATTTTTTTGAATTAACATATTATATATTAAAGCAGATGCTCTAATTGTTTGCCTCTAGTTCGTAATACATAATCTACATCTGATAAAATTATTTTTTAATCTTCTTAAACTTATTTGGGATATCTCTTGAGAAGCCATATTTGTTCATTTACGGGTTCCCTTTCATTGTGAATTGGTTTTAGGTACACTGTATCCTTGAGACAATCCAACATAAACACTCACGCCTGTCACCCAGAGGGGTAGGCAGAGATTACGGACTTCCATTTGGCACGATCCTGACATACCTCTTTCGCCTCCTTTACATTCATATATCTACGCATACATGCTCGTCGGTTAAGGGTACTTCTAACGTGGCCCATTTTCAAAATATCGCCAATTTGGTCGACAAACTTTTTTCTAGGGCGTCCCTTCCCGACTCGGCCGTTCACATCTGCCATATAAATTTGCTTTGTCACTCTTTCATCATTCATTCTTTCTACGTGACCAAACCACCGAAGCATTCCTTTCTTAATCCTGGTCACAACATCATCTTGCATACCACATTTATCTATCATCACATATCACAATCCAAATAAAAAAAAAATCCAAAGGATTTAAGTCGGGGGATCTCGGGGGCTATAAGATCGTCCCCAATCGCCCAATCCACCTTCTTGGGAACCTATGGTTAAGATAGACTCGAACATCTCGAGTGTAATGTACTGGGCAACTGTCATTTTGTTATCTACTTATCCTCTAGGAGCATTGGCAAGCAATGCAAGAGCAAGTCGGAGGTAGCTCTATTGGTCCTAATATTGAAATATTGCAGATTCCTGTCCATAAATTGATTTTAAACATGTATTATGAACAGTCTTCTCTAGTTTCATGCGGGTTTTCTAACTGTCAACTATGAATATTCTGCAGGTGAAGGTATCCGTCCCTTCTGCACTGAGACTCATCAGTCCACAAAACTTTATGAAAAAAGACAGGATTTTGACTAGTTAGTTCCAGCATTTGTCGGCAAAATAGGACTTGTTTTACATAATCAACCTGAAGGAGAGTTTGTACTCTTTGAATGTGGTATGGGTTGTAGCGGCGCGGTCGTCGCGCCACAAGCGAAATACACCGAAGCTTAAATCACGCTATCAACATTCCGAATCATAGACAGTATATATAGAACTTCTCCGAACTATCACACGGAGTGTTGGCTGCTCCCCGGGCAGAACACCTTACCCGGCGGGAGATCTCCCCTTTTCCTTCCACGGCCACAGTGGTGACTAACCGACGTGATCTGAACATGCAACCAAACAACCTTCGGGAACTTCAAGCTTCATCATCGTCATAGAATACCCCACCTATTCGCTCCCGAGCAGACATCGTCTGCAGTCTTCATATCCTGCAAGCCATCTAGCTTCACCAGGTTCATCGCAGCACTGGAATAATAATGCTTCCTGTTCCTTCAAGCTACTCTCTGCGCTATACAGTGTTCGGCACGGCTCTGAGCCTTACTGCTCGCCTTTGTTTCACGGCACTCTCGCAGATTACTTGCCTTCTTCTCGACTCACCGCAGACTACAAGGCAATCTCCTGGCACTTGCACATTCGTCGGCAACGAGGCTGCACTATCGACCTCCGGTCTGAGCAGGGGGTGATGTAGCGGCGCTGTCGTCGCGCCACAAGCGAAATACACCGAAGCTTAAATCACGCTATCAACATTCTGAATCATAGACAGTATATATAGAACTTCTCCGAACTATCACTCGGAGCGTTGGCTGCTCCCCGGGCAGAACACCTTGCCCGGCGGGAGATCTCCCCTTTTCCTTCCACGGCCACAGGGTGAAATTGATACTTTTTTTTCCAATACAAATTACCGATAACTACAGTATTTCAGTGCGACTTTGTATCACACGCACTGAAGTCGAGGGATCATCTTTGCCTTCTTGTAGCACGATTTCCCAGATTGAGAACCTCGAGTTCCAGGTATTCTACCCTCCCTGTAGGCAGAATCCAATTGTTCAATCACCTCATACATCGGATGTCTACGGACTGGATACCATTCCTCGTACAATCTTGCAACCAACTTTGCGTTTAACAATATTATGCCTTGAGTAGAGACTTGCCTGGTTTAGCCGTAAATCAAGGACATGTCAGCGTACTCACGATGTGTAAAGAGACTAACAGCGCCTTGTTGTGGATTTTCCATTATTAGTACTTTCACAACAAAATCAATCAGTTCAACAACAGTCCAAGTAGTAAGCAAATCAAAAACCAATTAATAAACGCTGAGTAGGCAAAAATAATAAAAATAACGAGGAGCACAAAACTGCATGAGTATCACAAAAAACTGAAGATAACATACTAAAACCAACCACCGAAGCTACCTGTGCGAGACTGAGGGCTGTCTCGCTCAGTTTATGACCCGAGAATGGGTTGCTGTGATGCTAAACATAAAGACTTAACAACATTCCTTTTCATTGCTTTTGAAAAAAGGATTTGTTTATTCAATACCAAAGTACAGCTTCCGGCTGAGAGCACTACCCTTAATGATAAAAAAAGTAATTTTTTATCATTAAGGGTACATCAGTTTTACATCATTACATTTTTTTTCACCGCAAGTCAATCAAATTTGGAAGTGCAATTTTTTCAACAGTAAAAAACTAACACATAATTTTTTTTTTCTTAAAAAATACATGAGAATTTGAGGCAAAATTACTTTCAACTCACGGAACAACTGTTCAAAAAATAAAATATAAAAACCTTTCAAGGTATTTCTAACAACAACGGTAGAAACACTAACTTAAAGTAGAGATTTAAAAAAAAATAATTGACAATATCTCAAAAACTAAAAAACTTTTACTAAGGTAATTTTTTTTATCTGCAAGATCTAAGGCTAACCTATCTTCCATGTCACTCTGACATGATATTTTTGGAACACCAGTATAAAAGATAAAGTCAATGTCATTTTCATTCTGATTGTGTAAGAATTTTTGATACAATATAATGATACACATTTGGGTATAGAAATATAGACATAATGCAACATAAATTCAACTGAAAACACACTATTTTATTACTAAAATTACTTGTCATTAATATAGATTACAAATTTATTATTAAATAGAATTAAATAAAATTTAGGCAAATTACAGACATTTATATTACATAATTAATTATATCATTATAATATTAATTATATTTTAATGACTTATATGTTCATAATTAATTTTTTAGATTATTAAAAGAGAAAATGTAAAACAAGGAATGCCTTTCAGTAAACATTTAAATTTAGGAACTTCTATCACTAAATCATAATAAAGATTTATTTAGCCATGATTAATTTTATAACAATGTATTTAATACATTATAATATGTCAATAATGTGTATAAAGTATGTAGTCATACCAATTTAGATTGAATCAAAGCATAGATATAACCATTATAAGTAGGTCAACATAGAAACTCTTCATACACTGTAATCAATACTCCAGCCTTCCTATGTAATGAGATATAGGCAAGGCAAAGTAATATCTGATATATACTTATACTACTTTTCAC